AAACATCAGGTTTTGGTGCATACTATTCTAATCTGGTTTATATCTCAAGAACTCAGACACTATTAACGATAAGGCTCCAAGAATCACGTTGAAAAATTATATACGAGTTGATGATAACCACTAGATAAAATAAGAGAAAGTAATATCAGTTATTTAGCATACTCTTTCTACTGGTTTCAGCCTCTAAAGCGCAGAAATGAAAAGTGGGGTCAAGATTTTTGTTGAGCCACGTTAAAAAAAAGAAGTACTGTATCATGCAGTTTAGTTTCATGAGAAACACTAATAGCAATTTGAGAGACAAAAACCAATTTTTGAGCACGCTGTTTGATTCGGTTAAATAAAGAGCGTAAGTTTCTAAAGAAACTGTAGTGTTACGTCGGTGGGGAAGAATAGCAAGATAACTTTAGTTTTCTCAACTTAGTTGATAACGTAAATTGGCCACCGCAAAGAGTTTCAAAGCTGACGTTTCGAGCGTTAGCCCTTCGTCGGAACGAATGTTATTTCGCAGTTGATGAACCAAAATTATCTAGTTCAATTCGGCTGTGGCTAATAGCTAGCTCAACATCTCAAACATCTTTAATGATTAGACTCGAATGTTTTTAGTGAATCTAATCATATTAAAATGAAATCATATATCAGTTGATGATAAGCCTGACAGGCAATTTGAGAAAAAAAAAACATCAATTCATGCGAACATGCATACTTTTCCAATTAGCCCTAAAAGTCTATACATTTAAAACAATTAACACTCTTCACAAAAATAAATGTTGAGATAAGAGGTTGGGCTAAATTAAAGATGGCTTGGAACGTGGTTTTGGTAAACAACGGCTAAACTTTGTTTAAATACCGGCCCTTAGTCTCTAAAATTTTTTTATTGAGATCACGTCAAAAAAAGATCTATACCAGTTAATGATAACTCAAGGAGCAATCTTTGAGGAACAAAAATCAAATTTTAATTAAAGCATACTTTAATAAATTGGCTTAAGAATTTCGAGTTGGACAGTGTTAATACTTAGGATCGAACACACCTAACACTCAGGCTCCAAGGGTTTGGCCGTTAAAATTGAAAAAAAAGGTTCATTTTTGTTAGAAACCAAAAGATTATTAAACTCACTAGAGATCTCAAAAATAATTCTGGAAAAAAATCAATAAATTTGGTCAGAAGTTAGAAGTCTCGAGACTTTCAGCTTTTTACATCGACGTCGGCTTTCACCTGAAAAAAGCATCAGCATGCGCGCCGCCATCTTGAATTACACAAAGAATGGGGGTCGTTCATTTCAAGCACAAAATTTAGCTAAAAGATTGATTTTCTAGCGTCCCAAGCGGATTGGTTATAAAGAAAAGACTTCAATTCACATATATTTATAGGACATACGTGAGAACTTTCGAACAGGAAGAAAAAATAGCGTCTAGGGATTTGAAGTACCTGAAAATGCCTTGCCCGAAGTTCAAACGTGGGCGGCAAATGGCAAACGTGACCTCTGGAGTCTCGTCACGCAACTCCTGCACGTTTGTGGTCACACGTATTCAGAAACAAACGTGGATCTAAAACTCCCTGATAGTGTAAGAAATGACCCAGTAAGATATCAATATTCGTTGAATCATATCTTACTACCGGAAGTGGACCACCACAAACATCTGGGTCTTTGGCTGACGCCGTCTTTATCATGGGATTATCACATTAACTCAATTTGTGCTAAAGCTAACAAGGTCATGGGCTTGATAAAAAGGACGTTTGGTTATTCAAACAAGGGGGTAGGGCCAATTCCATAGCACATTCCTTGAGTACTCTTGGAGAAATATTGTCAGGGCCAGATGCTTTATTGACATCGATTGACTGAAGTAGTTTCGTCACTTCTTCTACGCTACAAGATAAGTCTCCTATAACAGGTCAGCTGATTAGGATTCTGGAAATTACTTGCTTCTGAGGCCTTGATGTAAACAGACTGGAAGAAACTGTTGAAAAGGTTAGCTTTATCGAGTGGTGTATACGCTCTTTGTCCCTCGTACTCGATGCAGCTCGTCACGCTACGATTGCCTGTGCGCGCTTTGACAAAAGACCAGAATTTTTTGAAGAAGCATAGCCGCATAATGAAGCTTCGGGCAAACTGTTACAGTCAGTTTTTCGATCCGGTAAGGGTTGTAATTCAAGAAAATGCAGCAAAACTACGGATGTAAGAAAAAACCATCCAACCGCCATAATGACCGCTGACCCGCTAATCTTAGAACTTGACGATAGTTTGATAGGTTTAGCCATTGCTGTGGTAACTTGGTTGGTCGGATGACTAGCCTTAACATGCAAAATAATGACAACTAGTGGATCAGATAATTCACGGTGGAATTAATCCATCAAACGGAAAACAACTGACAGTCACGAGAATCAGAAAGAGATTCAAGAAATCAGCTGAGTGAGGAAATTGATTCATTTCTTAGTTGGAATTTCTCAGTCTTCTTTATCGACAGAATTCGAATTTAGTATCGAATTGGAAACATTTGGTAAATCCAGGTTACATTTTTAAAAGCAGACAAAAAGGCCTAGATAACTAATTTGTTATAAAAAAAAAAAAAGTAAACCACCTAACCTTGTTTGACATTGTCAGAGTATTTCCAGGAAATCAGCTGAGTGAGGAAATTGATTCATTTCTCAGTTGGAATTTTTCAGTCTTCATTATTGACAGAATTCGAATAAGTATCGAATTGGAAACATTTGGTAAATCCAGGTTACGTTTTTAAAAGCAGAAAAAAAGGCCTAGATAACTAATTTGTTATAAACAAAAGTAAACCATCTAACCTTGTTTGACGTTGTCAGAGTATTTCTCTCCTTCCTTGACTTTCTTGATTTGGAGGTGTTCTCACTTTCTTCTTGAAACTGTCCTATGGAGAAAAAAAAAAACAAGGCAAATATATTGTGAACACGTACATACCTGAGTGCTTTTCCTACTAAGTAATAAATGTCAACGTCTGGATCGAAAAACTCATTTACAGTCACCACATTTTTAGCTGACAAATGTAATTTTCATTAGTCATATCGAACGAAGGCATTATAAAATTTCAATGTTTTAACTTACTAAGCATTACAAAAAAAATATGTTGTTGATTGGGAATAACCCATAATCGGCGAAATTGTTGACACATTGATCTTTTTAACCCTCTATTCTTTCTCTTTTTGATCTCTTTTGCTCTCGTTAAGTTAAACTATTCGCCTCCACCCTCTCCCAAGAAAAAAATGTATCATGACTCCATGAACTTTTAGCTACGTACAGGCAACATTGAAAGGGGGAGGGGAGGGTTGGGGAGGGGGCTCTTGTCAATGATTTAGAGTGTGGTAGAAGCAGGAATGTTATTTTATACATAAATAGAGCTCTTCAAACATGATGTGTCAACTTCTACTGACGCCAATTGTGGCTAACTTTCTGTGGGAGGGGTGGGAGGGTAAGGGAAAGGACAAGCTGCATTTAAAACATATTTAAGGTCAACGCACTGTAATCATAAAAGCTATCTGAAAAATATGTACAGGAATAAAAAGAGAAATGAGTAAATAAGCGATAAGTACACTAACAAAATACGAATTTCTCGCGTTGCTACTCAAGCTATGTTCAAGAAGAACTGTCATGGCGGCTGTGCTATGTATATTACGACTTCTCACATTTGATTTTACACATTGATTTACAAGGACCACAGCGAGAAAGATGAACACTATACATCCATCCAAATGTATCTTTACGTGTTACTTACCTGAAGAAAAGTCGAGACGAACTCAAAAGTAAGAATCCTCGACAAGGCATCAAAACCATTTGGACCAACTTAAGAAGCATTCGCTGACTCGGACAGAACAGGCAATATCCAATTTAATAAGGTCGAAATGACGTAAAGCTCCGTAGAAGCTCTAAAAGACGCTCAAATTTCGTGTAGTTGATAAGCTCTTTCCACGTGCAAGACTGTACTGAGTGCAAACGTGAATACTAATTTCAGAAATGATTTGTAATTCAAATGAGACTTTCACAAAAGGCGGGTTTAAAATAATCGATAAGATTTGTTTGCTTTGTTTCATTCAATTATAAAACGAAGTAGGATCCTTGCTTTAGAACGATTTTCCACTCAGAAAATTTCAATAGAAAGCTGCAAACAGTGTTGAAAAATTTTAGAAATATCAGCTCGAACTTAAATGAATTTCACCCTAAAGTATTTTGCCTGAGCAGCATTTCTAATTACAGAAGCAATTAACCTGGGTTAACCATAACCCCCCCTCCTCCCCCCCCGCGGAAAATCGCTCTGTTTTTCTTCTTTTCCATGGGTATTTCGAGTTAACGCGGTGCTGCTGTTTTTAAATCTGCATGGGAGCTAACGAAACGCATTTAAGACGAAGGACCTGTTTTATTCGGCCACTTTCGACTGGATAAAAGCACATACACGATTCTAATAGCGCAGCTTTAAGTGAGCGAGTAGCGAAGCCCCACACTTGTAAAAATGGTTATAACCCATCAAAATTTGTATCATACGACCGAAAGTACAAGGTGTTACTTTAAGTATACGCGGCCAACTGCATTGTGGACACGTCGACACCACAGGTTTCTATTTGTTCGGCGAACGTTCTAGCGCAATACGAGCTTGACACTTGCTCGTAGAAACCCATCAAGCCAAGAAAATTTGGTCAATCACGCGGCCGTACATTCGCACAAGTTGCTACATTAAGCACGCGCAAACAACTGTATTGCGGGCAAAAATCTCGGCATAACTTAGAATAGGAGGAAGTAAGACACATTCGTGCGTCTGTTACTAGAGGATTTTGAAGACAGAACAAAGCTAGTAGGGACGGCAGAGAGTAACGCGACTGCAACTAATCTCTGTCATCTCAATATTCAGAGGGGATTTACTTGGCCACAAGGGGATATCTAAGACAGTTATTTGTGCAGTAGGAGGACCGCAATTGCCTGTTTACCGCTCACTACTGTTAGAGTCACTCTATGGAGCCACAGGAAAAAGACACCAACAAAAGTAGTGTTGAAAATTTATTTACAAATCACTGATGAGCATTGCACTTTGCCATAGAGGACCAAATTGCTTCATAACGAGGCAGAGCATTAATATAAAATAATCAGTAAAATAATCTAGTGACCAATCCTAACTCTAACAAAAAAATCGGACACTCCAATGACCAGCTTTCCAAGGAAATGAGCTGCATTTAAATATTACAAACTGATAGGAGTTATCCATTCTAGGTAATCCTGGTTAATGATAAAAGTCAAAGCTGGCATTGAAGTACCGAGTTTCTAGATCTAAAACTAATTTTAACCCTTTAACTCCGAAAAGTGATTTTAAAACGTATCTCTCCATTCCAAAATTTCAATAAATTATGTAGCAATCAAATGGTGAGTCTCGGCGGTTGTATCAAGTAGTGTTTTGATCCAACGTCAAATTCTTTCAACTGATATACGACAAAATGTATAGCAGCTACTATTGAGAGGTAAAAATCAGATCATCAGAGTCAGAGGGTTCATATGGAGATACTACTATGAAGATAATACTACAGCGGACCTACAACATAAATCTTTAAGAGAACACCAAGAAATAAAATTCACAGTAAGTACTGTTATAAGCAGTACTGTATCCACTGCTGGTAATAAAAACGCGATTAATGGTAGCTTAAACCAGTGATGAAGACTAGAACATCACAAGAACAAGAAAAAAATGTAAATAAAAAAGCATGAAAAAGAGCGAAATCTCATATCAAAGATTCTTTCAATGGTCGAAGCAAACGAACCTTGAATTGGTATTGATACTCATGACACTACTAAGTTATATGACAGGAAAATATTCACACCTCGTAATAAAAGCGGAGCTCGCAGCGCGCAGCGAGGCCCTATACTTAACATATCCGCATTCGCTATCAATACCTTTCGGTTTGTTAATCTTTGCTTAAGTAATAACTAGGCCGCTTCAAATCTTTGAAATTGATGGTTACAAGAGATCTTACATCTTTCAGGACAATCCCGAAAAAAGATACCGAAAATACATTACAAATAGAACAGAAAAGCTTATTGGCAACTTATGGCTTACGTAAAAATTCTAATAACCTTGGAAAGAATAACGCAAATTGGACAGTTCTTTCCTCAAAGCTCCGTTTCGCCTCCGCGATAATCCGTGAGAGGAAAAACGTCTACATTGGCTAATTTCGCTAAGAATTCTCATTTAAATAATGCCTCTTTCTTACAACGAGAGGGAATACCGTAATCCCAATTCCGACCATCTTTATTTCCTTCTGTTTATCATAGTCTATAACAGAAAACCTGAAAACATAGATACTTTAGCGTTATCGAGATCAAAACTGGGAAAAGATTCACTTTAAAGGAAGTCAACTTTCAAAGTAGAACTTGCTCCCGCGATTATAAAAACTAACAGTGGCTGACAATAATTACTGACCTAAATATACAGAGGTGCAGTGATAGACAATTTCCAACCAGAGGAATACTTTCACGCATTCCTCGACATTCCAATTTAAAAAGCCCAGCTTTCATTGCGTTTTTCCACATATATACCTGTACAATAAGCCATGCTTTCCCACATTTGGCAATTCTTTTAAAAATAACTTTATCGTCAAGCATAATTTCTAACTAAAGCCGCTATACAATTAACACCCGCACGAAGCAATTTCCCTTTAAAAAAAAGAAACCCCTTAGGTTTGTAATTGGAAAATTAGAATTAATCAATTGCGAATAACACGATGATGACAAATCAGCCAGGCACCTTTTGTAATAATCGAAACAATGTAGATGGTGAATACAGAAATAGCCAACCACAGAGCCCTACTTGGCACATGTGATCAAAGGGAACAAATAAGAATACGTTCTTCGCGAAAACAAGACATCGTGATTGGTCTGTTTTGATCACATGCGCGAAGTAGGGCTCCCTGATTGATTAACATACCCACCCCTGACACTACTACCTAGAGCAATTGACTTAGCAGCAAAACCAGGCAGTGATAGAGAGGTATTAAATCTCAATTTGATAAAAAGAATGAAAGAATGAATTGCTTAAACTGAAAAAACGATTAGGCGGCCAATTTATAATTCTCCACGAAACGAGGCATACACAACACAGAAGAAAAGCTACATACTTCGGACCAGTCTCTGCCTTAAGCTCTTTATCAATTTCTTACTTCTCACTAAATTTCCGCTAGTTATAAAAAATGCGATGATATTTTCGCATCGAAAAACGCTATGTTACAAAAAAACAAATAAGTGCAAATTTCATTTTTAAGTAGGTTGGGTATCACATTGCTTTCTTAAAACAATATAAAATAGCTTATACTGTACTGATAACATGGCTCTCAGCCAGATATGTTTCTTTTTTCACTAAATAATTGATATTTCTTCCCAACTACTGCTCAACTACATCGAGGAACGCTTTCCTAATAAAGGGAGGAGAAAAGTCGCAATTTCGACGCAAATATTGCAATATACTTTACAAAATGTTAGGCTTTCCTCTACCTGGGCCAGTGTATTTAAAAGGATTTCGTTGAGGTGTGAAATCTGTCAAAGCCTTAAAAGCTTCCAAAATTACCATCGTTGTTCTGACAAAGAGCCTCGAATCTTCAAGCACACATCACAACAAGCACTATTTCTTAGCCGACAGCAAAACGCACTCGCCACTACCGCTGTTAAAAACAACGATAAAGCAAAAGCCAGCGGAAGCGGAATTTTACATTCAAAGAGACGAATAAGATATAACAGTCTAACATCTCAACCTCATTCCCAAGGCCTCTCTCTTCTTCCCAGCCACTGGGGAGGAAGACAACGTGTGCCCTAGGAAGGGGGCCTCTCACGTCTTAACTAGCTTGACGATAAAGAAAAATTCTAGGGAGGGGCAGGTGATGGTGTTTTGTAGCAGAAGGCGTAGGACTGTAACCCTACTGATACAGGTTGAAAACGAAGCACAACAACTTGATGCATATCAACACGGCTAATTTCACCGGCCATTTCACCCCTTGAAGAGCTACAACTTACTTTGCTGCATCACTGGCGGCAATTTTCTACAGAAATTTGTCAAGACTATTTTCTATCTAAAGTATTCTACTACGGCTTTGTTCACTTACGATCAAGAAATGACTTAAATACTTGGCACTTGCATTGTTACGATGTATTTCGTTTCCAGGCTCGCTCCACCCATCCTTCTCAAAGCAAAGCAGCGGGAATATAACGAAATTTGCCTCATCACCTCAACGTAATTCAGTGTACATGTAAGTCTCACCAAGAGTCTCTTGACCCCATAATTGCGACTGAACCAGGTACAACTCATTCACTGTACACATGAACAATGTTTTCGCCATGAGTTTTTCCTTGGTCCGTACTGTGAAATGTCTCAATTTTCAATGGACTAACAGATTTTTTCCCCCAACGGCCATGAATAAACAGAGGCTCATTTGCACGACATGCAACATGGGTAGAAAATTCTGTCCAATCGTGCTTGGGCAAAATAGAGTTGCACCGAAAGGCAACATGGGAGATGTCACAGGTAGACACTCGGTCTTTCGTTAGAGTCCACAGGGTGATACTGTTGACTTGATGGGGACGCTTGGACATTCGGCAGCCTGCTGCCAGGTTGATTCGGCGGATGTGTCGCCCGCCAGTAACTCTCAAGGAACTCGCCCAGGTGATCGCAAGCATCGTCGAGTTGTGCTTCATCCAAGACAAGGTCATAAGATTCCTTCAAGGAAAAAAAACACAATGCGCAAAAAAATGTTAGCTGATTATCTTTGAGGTGATTCAGAATGATTTAACTAATTTCAAACGCTCCTTATTTATTGGATTAAAACTTTTCCACCCTCTCGACTCTCCTGTTGAAGAGAGTATCCCAAAATTCTTATCCAACATTCTATTTCATTTTCCTGACTTCTAAGGTTACCATAGCAACAATACAGCCTCTTAAATAAACCCTTAATTGTAGTTTTATGTGCCTGTGACTGAAAACGAGTTCAGTAACCGCTACTTAATTTTAACCCTGAATTACTATAAGCAAACTGACATTCATCGTTCTGCGAAGTTTTACACAAAAAATGGTAACATCCATACTAGCGCCCGTATTTCCTAAATTGCACAGACTGAAGTGGTACAGAAAAAGTCGCCGGGAGGTTTTGACCACCAGATAAAACAAGGGAAAAAACAAAGGTATACTTACATCGCCACACTGTGCTAATTTTTCGGCTGCCACTAATTGAACGTTGAGATTCCGAGACTGAGACTTGCCTCGCGTTTTTATGAGCCTTTGCAAGACCTGTTTAAATATAAACAGTGTAATTATTGGCAATAACAAACAGTACTCACTCTTAATTTTAAGCACAACAAGTAAAGGAAACTTCCTAATTGGTAAGGGATTCTTTTAGGCTATTCAATTTCAATAAATTCCAAGCGATTTTAGGCGGTACGGTAACAAGAGGTACTACAGGCGGTAAATATCAACCCTTAACCCCCTAACATCAGTAAAGGTATTCTTCAAACTGTTCCCCATACAATCCCTAAGTTGCTGACAAGGAGAATTTGTTTAACAATCAACAATTTCTTTAGCTGCTGATAATTTTCTTTAATCTCATGACCTTACTGCATGATTCAGGGGTGATATTGTAAGGAGAAATTAGATGCTGGTCACTCTTAGCGTTTGAAAGGTTAACAATTACCGCCTGTAAAAAGAGAGCACCTGACTAACAACGGATTAAGGTTGGAAACATTTTCGGAAATAGACAGTCGTCGTTATATCAGCAGGCAGAGGTATAACCAGCAGGCAAATGATTCAAAGACATTTTCGCATCATGTGGGAAAAAAATAGTTATTTCTAGTCAGGATCACTATTAGTAGTCTTAGTACACTACGCCCTATGGTTGGTCAATCAAACTCGCGCCACGTTTTCCACCAATCAGATGCAAGACTCAAACCAACCGTGACTTGCTTACTCCATTTTCCCGCGCATTTCACCGTTCACGTGTTTACTTTAAATTCTTATGGGTTCCCTGTGATGTTAAGCTTGGCTCTAATTGGTTGTTGTGATTACGTCACGTTTAGTTTCCACTTAAGCTCTCACGCCCCTATTATAATTAAAAATTAAATTCATTTTTAATAAGAGACTAAACTGTTCTTACCTTGAGGGAGTTAATTTTGATGTAAACAAGAAGAGGAGCTAATGATGTCTTGAAGAGCTGAGTTGGATGGTTAATAGTTTCACAATCTAACACGACCAAGTTGAGCCCGCGAGCCAATTCGAATATCTTTTCAATCTCAACCTGTACTTCAGCTGAAAGAATAAACAACAACAACAAATAGAAAATTGAGTAAATTATGGTAATCTGAGCCCTTAAAAGCTTTACTTCGCAAAAAGAAAGTCGAGACCACATATCACACTGCACCACACCAACCAAGCCTATTCCAGCCTTCAACAAATTTACAGTAAAAACATCACCTCCACTTCCTATTCCTCTTCGCGGTCACATGTATCGTTATACAAAAAAATCAACTAGTTGATTAGTTATGTGAAATCCTGACGTTGCAAGCTCCGCAGGTCTGTAGGGGAGGGGCCCTGTCCCCTGGAAACTCCCTCTGGATCCGCTTCCAAAGGGAGGGTTTACAAACCAATGAAATTAGGAACTTTATGAAAACAAGGACGGCGACGGAAACGAGAACGTAGCAAAAAAATAGATCTAATGAGCTGATCAATAGCGAAACACGTGTGCTTCAAAACTTTCTCATTTCTTAGACGCCGTTCGAGGAAAATAAATTACATTTTTCCGGAAACGTTTTAACACACGTCGCCGTAGTGACGTCTCTAACTCCCTGTTGTTTAAGCAGTGGCGACTTGGGGAATGATTCAGTTTTCAAACGAAAGGCAGTTAGAGAGCAGAAAACGAGGATAACTTACCAAGTCCTGAAGCTTTACTGTTTGGTCTTTCCATAAGCTTACTCTTGCTTGGGTTCGATAGAGTCGACCTTTTGGCCAAGGTTATATCAGCATTGACACGTGATATTGTTATTCTGAAAAATCAAGACGAAAAGCGTATTAAGAGTTCTGCTTTGGTTTAAGTGCGAAGGATTTTTAAGTTATGATTCAAGAACAATAAGTAGGTATCATAAAAATCATTATCCTTATTATCACACTGACTACAAAATCACATTTCAAGTTACTCATCAACGAATTAATTGAAGTATGAGTGAGAAATTCTAAAGTGCCTTGCGTTTATTAATTAACGGAGAAAATTGGAAAAACCAGAGGAAAACTCTAGGAGGACGGACAATGAAACAACAAAAGATTATACCGCCAACAAAATCGGTCTAAAATTTAAATCAAATTAACAAGATCAGAGCTATGTACTCGGTTGAAGAACTTTACCTTCCCGAGAATTTGTGCTTCATGTAATCATACAAAGCTTTCTGCATCATGTCTGTGACCTGCAATAAAACAAACACAAACCATAAGAGAGGCAAGACCAATAAAATCTCGGGTTACCTTCGGCACTCCATTGAAAATCGCCCTAAACAGTTCACAATTTTTGCTCGAACTGGGGATCACTCTTACCTCGTAACCTTTCAGTGAAGGCCCAAGTAACACAATGGGTCTCATTGAAGGAACAACGTCATAAGGAGAGAATTGTTCTTGCTGCTTTTTGAAGAATGGCTTTTTTGTTTTTCCACTCTGGGTTCCCTGGGAAGATACCGTTGTTCCCGACGCGGATCTTGGTAATGATTTTGGCGTCGGACTGGAAGGACTGTGCTCATCGTCATATTCCAGACCATTTTCATTATCAACTGTCACCAGAAGTAAAAAAAAAATCAGATTGCATTTTGCCGTTCATCTGTTAAGTAAGAGATCACAGATGACGTCAATTTGACGTCATCTGTGATAGGAAAACAAGTGGTACACGCGACGGAACCGAGTATGTCGCTGATCTTCTCATCACATTTGTAAGTATTCTAAGATCTCTTCCTAAACAGACGCAAGGCAACATGGCGTGACGATGTCATCTAGGCTTCTGCCCTCCAATAGATTATTAGTAGGAACCAATCAAAATGTGTCACAAAAAGAAAAGACAGCAAAAACTTACTCTGCCCCGACGTGGATGATTGCCTTGACGGCGAAGTATTTGTTGGAGACTGGGCTTGATTCATCATTCCTTCAAACTGGAAAACGCTACCAGACCTACTACAGAGATGCAAAGAAGCAAACAAAAAAAAAAGCCATCAGTTACAAAACATACCCCTTTAAGCATAACATCAAGAGAATAAATTCTCTTGAGACACTAGTCTGTCTCAGGATCAAAAGAGAAAAGGAATCCTAAAACACTTTCCACCCACTAAAACGGGTGTTAACTAACATCGGTATTCATCTTCTCCATATTGTTCTCTGTACATTTACCGAGGAGCTGACAAGGAGAATTTGTCTAACAATGAAGAGTTTCTTTGGTTGGTGATCATTTCCTTTATTCTCATGACACCGATGTGTGATTCAGTGGTGATATTGTAAGGAGAAATTAGATGCTTATCACTCTTGGGGGTTAAAGAGTCAGTCAAACAAACACTGTCCTTACCTCTGACCCGTTTTACTTCGACTTCCTCCAGAACCACTCAAACCCAACTGCTGGAGAGAATTTAACTTGCTTGGACTGCAAAGGAAGTATGCAGTAAGATCATCAGCATATAAATCAAACTGAATAGGACTTCAAACCCGAAAAACTTTGCATGACCGTAAATCTCAACAGAAGTAAGACTACACAGAAATCCCACAACAGCTTGTGTACGGTAGAATACCGTAACCGATATTTAGCCATGTAACAAGGTAATTTGGTGTTATCAACTGAGTTGATCACGTAAATTGGCCACCTTTAAGAGTTCCAAAGCTAAACTTTGAGTTTTCTATGCTTAAGAGCCATCTTGACCTTGGGCGCGGTAAATAACACGTTATTATACCACTTAATACAAGTTAACCATTTGTAAGGAAATATATTGGTGAGGTTGTTTTATTTACCTAGGAATGAAGCCAATATCACAGCCCTCTTTAACCACTCTCCCGATCCACCAGTCATTGTTAAATTTCTGCAAATACAACGACACAACAGCTTACATCTCTTATTTCAATTCACACAGTGTTCATATATCTACGTAGAATTCTTTTATCGAGTCTGTTTCAGCAGGAGAAATGTGTAAAGTAACAAAAGTTAAGGTTACAGTTACATAGGGTTTAAATAAAAAACACAGCTCTGCTAAGAAATTGGTGCAGTAGTTTGAGAATTCTTGGAAGCTTCGCGAATCAGGGGTCGAATACCGAGGCTCGAGTTTCGATTTTAGTAACTGAGAATTGAATTATGAGCCGGCTGAGGAATTTTATAAGGAAACAATTTCATTCTGGAAAATAGAACAATGACACTGTATCGTATATGCTACAAGCACTACTTGATCTCCTAGAAACCCCTACCTCCTTAACATGAAGAAAGTCTTTTGCTTCAAATGAGACTGCCGCTCCGTGTACTGGCGAATCATCGTCAGCACTTCCATCATAGGGAATGTTAGTTCGCACAGCAAATGCAACTTGTTTGGACTGAAAAGAAAAAATGTATTTTTAAATAATTTTCAAACTCTAAAGTGTGGACCTATCGTAACTAAAGAAAACAAAGTTACGCCAAGTTAATGGCCAATTCCCCTTGGCAAGTGCAGGCTCAAAAGTATGTGAGCTGTGGTGGAATCTAAACACATATGTTTTAAAATCAGTTGCCTATAAGCCCTTGGTTGTCTGGGGCAGTTGTTTTTTGGCTCATGGTGGGGTTTAGGATTTGCTAGCCATGGGGGTGGTATTTCATCTTGAAGAAGGAGTGGGTGGCGGTAGCTAGACAAAGTGGAAGCTCCTTCCAAACCCCCAGCAGCCTACTTCCATTAAGGCAAGGCTGCTATTCAACGCAATGTTCCTAGTTCTGCAACACTGAAAATTGTAACTGGTTCTTACTCGGGCTGCCTCTAGGGCTTCCAAAGCCCTCCTCTGTAGGTCCCGCCGTGAAATCTCCCTCTCCTCCTCTATGCTGCTGGTATCAGATGTTCGATACTCTCTATTATCAACATCCTGAAAAATAGATAAAGGGGTTAGTTTCTGAAGAAACTGTGGTACTGAGTTGGGGGAAAAAAACATATACACATGCTCCTCTCAGCTCCAAGCCCTACAGTGTGACATGAATATTCTGCTAAATGCTTTCGAAGGCATAGGTTCCATGACTGAGAGAATTGTCCCTGAACTCTCCATTGCCAAAATGGAGATCTTCATGTAACTTTTCCCTACAATATTCATACCTGTCCAGCACACAGGTTATGAGAATACTCAAACTCATCATCTGAAAGTTGATCTTGATCTAATGCCAAACTCTCATAACTGATTTACACAAGAATGTGTAGCAACTAGAGGGGAGAATCAACAATTGGATCTTGGGAGTTAAAGGGTTGATAAATATTTCAAATGATGAACTTGAAAAGATTGAAATCAATAAACTCTTTAATTTCTCCTTATCATATCAATACAATATAAACCAGATAAGTGTTGAGAAGAAAAATATCAATTTGGGGATAATCAGTTGATCTAAAACTAAATTCTCTGAACTAACATCATAAGAATTGTATGGTTGACAGTAAGGAGAATTGCACATTTGATCTGGGAATTAAAGGGTTAACTGAGCACAACAGGGCTCCTTTAAGTGCACCAATCAAAAAACAAAGAAATGAGAGTTTGAACACAAAGACTGGCCAACATTATATTTATTACAAACAGTCATTTCCCTATCACTGCAAAGTAAGATTGATACCCAATTAAATGGATTTTAAAGAATTCTTGGTTAACTCTGAATTTTGTTACTTTTTAAAAGCAATAAAATGTTAGTCAAACACATAATCAAAGATTCCAAGCTCAGGTCAGAATCGCTAATAGGTTATCGGAGGAGTAAAAATTAAGCATGTTTGAATATTATGCAGTCCTTATACAAATTCCAAAGAAAAACATTTCTTTCAAACTATGACCAACATATAACAATACTAGTTATAATAATTATAGCAGGTTTTCCATGACTAAACCATAATTAATGAGAAAAAATCTCGACATGTTTTATTCTCAACCATATAATCAAAAAAAATAATGTTGCTGCCATATTTTGAGACAAATCAGATGATGATACACAAATTTTACTTAAATATAATCTGCTTAACTTTATACATACGATATTTAAATTTTCATATCAGATACATACAATAATTTCACTGCTTCCACATGCATGATGCTTCAAATCAAATTTTTTAAAAAAGGAAAAAATTCAAATATTTCTACACATCTTTCTTGGTTTACACAACATCTTAACCCAGGATTAGTATTCACAGTTTTCAAAGCTTGAAACAACTCCCAAAAAATATCAATATTCATTAGGTGTTTGAATGTTACCCAAATGGAATTCAACAGACCACATTCTTTCACTATGAACCTAATGCAATACCAGTGAAAAACATACCCTGTTTTACACGTCAGAAAAAAAGCATATATTCACATTTGTATGGATGTGATCATGATAGTTTAAAATCAAAAGCAGTTATGATCATAAAGTCCCTTTTAAATTCACTCATTTGTGACAAAATACTCTTTTAAATACGTCTACCAGAGAATAGAATAAAAACCAATTGGGCTTGAAATTCATAACTCCCTGACATGACATGAATTTTTTTTAGCAAACTCTTTCATTGTGTCACTCACCCAGTCGTGAAGTAACATGCTGGCTTCAGAAGAAAGATTTGAAGCACAACCAAGACAATAAAGATTGTATAAGCCTTCTCCTTTACAAGAGACACCAACCGTGGTGCTGCTGTCGTCTTTCAAGCCAAACATTCATCATCGAGTCCACAGGTCCGTTTTGTGAGTTGTCAACTGCTGCTTGAGTGCAGTTTTATGCAAATATGATCACAATTCACAATATGCGTAGTAAATTTGACCAATGATTCTAATTTAAATGAAATTTGTTTAAAAAATTTCAGTGATGAAGAGGTGATTCAATCACACAAACCGTATTTTGTTCTTCTCACAGCTCAGAAAAACAACAGAACAGTAAGTATTTCACAATTTTAGCCCAAGAATCTAGACCTATGTCAAATCATTTTGGCAAATCACAAGACACAGTAGGAAAAACAAAAACATATGCCTTAATTAACAGATGTGAGTCATATCATTCATGTAATATTCACCAAAATTTTCCAGGCCTGTAAAAAGATTCTGTTAAGGCAATTTTCGCAAAGAAACATATCATGGTTTTGAAGAAGTGTTTATATCTGCTTATTAGTTTGTTATTTAACAAGAGTCCAGTAAAAAAATCCCCGTTAAAAGTCTTTTAATCGCCCCAGCATATCTGAGGTATAAATAATTGATCAGCTTCCAGCTTTCTGAATTGTAATTTAAGGCTTGTCTGGAAATAATATAAAACTGTTCAATGTTTCATGTGCATGGGGAAGTATACAAAATTATAACAGAGCCATAGCCTTTCACCCAGAAACTATCAGCATTTCTGGTTTTTACTGCAACCATAATGATGGACTACGAGAAATTAAAACTGTACCCTGTACATGGATGCAACTTCAAGTATATTTTACATGTAAACACTTTGTTCTGATAAACAAAATGACTTCATTTACAAATATTCTACATCTTCTGAGTAAAGACTCTCAAGCAATATCTTATTATGAAAACCATCACTTAAAGACTTAGCAAACTTTGTGAAACACTACGCAAGAAACATGACCAGTTTTTTTATTTTTGTTAAATTTTTTATATAATCAACACAGACTCTCATACCAGCATACACAACCAGGCTTTAAAAAACCAAATAATGTAATGAATATTTTACCTGACTGGCTTTCAGAGTCTCTTAAAAATTTTTTTGCAACATAACTTCAAAGTCCTCTACTAGGAATTGTAACAATGTCAAATCTTACACTTTAGTCCATTAATAAACAAACGTAATCTGTAAAACACTAGTGGGCCATTTATCGTTGACAAACACTTTCAGAGATCAAGAGAAAAGCCCGATAACATCGAGTCTTTGGTTTTGGCCCAAGCAACCAATTACAGCCATTGAACTACATAACACATTCTTCCTGACATCAGAATCCTTAGCAAATGTTTTGTCTCTTTTCAAAGGAGGTCATTTGACAGCCCACGGCATCAATAAGCCACCAGAGATCATAGAATTATCCAGCTTCATCGGCACAATAACAACTTCCCCCTAAATCTCCACACCTCGTTCTATATGTTTTCCCTATTCAAACATGGACAAAATTCTTTTGTCACTTGACAGTACTCTACTTCTAAAACAGTTCTGGATGAAATGCACTCAGTTCAAAAGCAATTTTTATTAGAATAAAATATCCTTTTTGACGACTTTGCATGTATGACATGACATGCTGTATCCTTATCATTCTGCTGCATTGTTATTAAGTATGAGAAATAAAAAACACATTCATGCATGTATGCATATTGCTTTGACAAAACACCACACTCTCAGGACTGGACAAAGAGAAAATGAATACTTATCAATTGGGAAAACATTAACCTAAGCTCATAAGTTTTAAGATCAAGTTTTGTTACATTCAGTCACAAATTGGAGGGGAATATTGGGGGGTTCTGAACACTGTAAAAATATTCAGCAAATTCTGGAAAATCACAAAAGGAAAATTGTCAAATACAGCAATACTTTAATAACAAGAAAAAATTCATGCCGAATCCACTACAGTAACTTTCTAAGTTACAATTTGAGCAAATAGCATGGAAATAACAATTATTAAGCATTTGTTATGGAACATTGCCTAGGGCTATTTTCAGTTTCGGCCTGTTTCTGAAACAATCACAAACCGGAGGAGGCCCAGAATGGTGGAGTAATAGGAGTACAATCTTTAATCCCATCCAAAATGCTTAACAACCCCATCCCACAATTCTGAAAATACCACAAGAAAAATGTCCAATTCAGCAATACTGCAAACCTAGATGTCCCCCTTAAATTGCCCTCAAGGCAACAAGCACTCACAAATGCAAGTTTTTCGCATAAAGGCTACAAATATGAATTGAACAGCCTGTGAAAACATTATGTTATCAGGATAACGTTTACAAGCAAGGCAAATCTTGATAACTGCATGGAGTCTGTGCTTAGATTTTCCATTAACAGCACCCAAGTACATGCAAAATATGCTTATCCCTAGTTTTTAAAGGATGGATAAAGCTATCTACTGGATAAATCTCTATCCAGCAAATAACAAAATTCAGTATGTTTTGTTAGCACTGATCAGCTGTTGTTATCTACACTGTGAAAACCTAGGCCCTGGTCCCAAGCACCATAAAAGAATGACTAACAAAATAAGATCATTTGAGTGAAGGATGTGTGTTATTTGCCTTCTGAGTTCACCTACATAAAATATAAAAACAATGTATGCCTAAACCCCTCAACAGCACAAGTGTAAAGATATGTCTTTGTAAGTTTTGCATCTGCATAATGTTCACCTTTCATTTGCATCATCATACACTGCACAAAAGTATCACATATCAACATTCCTATCCTAGCAGTATGAAGAAAGTTTTCACCATGGACCTTGTTCAACAACCTACAGCCTACCACTAGCCTTCCGTAGTTCAATGGTGAGCACCTAAAGCACTAATCAGAGGGTAGAAGGTTAAACCTTATTGAGAGCACTTGGTGTTCTTTTTCTTTAAGTTTGCCTTTGTCTTCCACTGAATAAAATATTCTCTCAATGTTCACCTCTGCTTCTAAATACAGTTTAAGAAGTTTTCAAATCAAATGTATTCAGTAATGTTTTAAGCGGATACTTGCAATCTTTGGTTGTAATGCATTTCAATGGCTGTGGGAAAACAGTACGTGAAACCTAATTATTTATACAAAGATGGGAACCTTGTACAAAGAACAATTTAGAAATGAGAACCCTGTACAAGATATTCATGTATGGGAACCCTGCACATAAAAGAAAGAGGGAACCCTGTACATGATAAAACCTTGAAAGAGATTGGCACCTGTTCAAGGGAGTGACAAGGGGAAAGTTCCACACTTTTCGTTTTCTCCATCAACAGGAACTCGGATAAGCTTCACCAAGATATGCCTCATGGCTAATAAGCTAAGTTTAGCCTTTACAATGACAGTTACAATGTTGACCTAGAGTTTTTCACCCAAGCCAAGCTGTTCAAATTGAGTATTTCTTGCCAGCACCAGAGGCATGAAAACTAGCAGGTACTAACAGGTACTGAAGAATTCCAATTTTCTTTGGAGGGGATACTACTCCAGCACAGAAAACTTACAGAAGACAGTTTTTAGTGATGCAAGCACAATCATTTGATATAGAAACATATCTTCTTGAGGAAAATGTTTGAATAAACTCTTAACCACAAGTATTGGTGCGAATTAAAATAAAATCTTGTTTTAATAAAGAAATTGTTTGCCATGTTCTGTCTTCACCATCTTGTTAAGCCAAAGCACAATAGTCTCATTGTCTAGAGGTTGCCAAAGATTTGGTAGGACATTTTGTTTACAGATCTCTCTTTAAGAAAGCTCAGTTCTAATCTAAACAGTGGACTGTTTTCTTGGCAACAAGCTTGAATTAGCTGAGAGGTGTGACGTATTGCTAAGTAGGTTACATGTAGCTTTGGATGGTTATCAAGCTATATACAGTGCACAGGTATGACTGTCTGAAATAGGTGCAGGCCTCACAGTAACAGTAAGAAAAAAAAAAATCAACAGTCACAAGTACATGTTAGAAATAAAACCTTGATACAGAGTTAGTGAAATCAAGAACAGAACATTAGCCCTTGTAAAAAAACTGCTTGGACCTAACAAAAATACAATGGAAAGCATTTATCACCAAACTAATTTCAGGGTCTCCGAGAACCACAGCAGTAACTGACTTATGGACTCACTGCACAGGAAACTACATCAGAATTCACAGAATCTAGGCCATGAAAACTGAATTTTTGTATTTATGTTCTACATATGCATTACAAGCTTAAAACTGTTTAAATAAAATTTACTGATGTATTAATCGAATCCAAAATCTTAGGTACTGACAGAGGTGATTATTTCATTTTCACACCCTGAGGATAAAACCACCGTTAAACTAATTAAAACAGTTAATAATATAGAGTGAAACAGAAAGTTTGCAAATATAAATTGTATTAACATATTTTCAGACTGCAAAAGTTATAAATTTGGCTTCTTATGTAACATTTCACAAATTTATGCACAGTCCTGTAGAATACCTTGCATGTAATGCTTAGGGTAATCTGCATATCTATGGACACTGACTTCACTAACAGTACAGTACGTTCCTAGAATCTTCCATCTGTTATGAAATATTTCCTCACAAGGAATGTTTCAAATGCAAAATAACATCATCAAAATCTTGGGGATATGCTTTTAGTAATGGTTTCTTATTGGAATATTCTGTTTATAGGCACAGATAATATAAAACACACAAACAGGTATCTGAACACCCTTATAATAACAAACAATTACACAACTGTTAGAATATGCTAATTTGCCTTCCTTTGGTTGTAATTGTTCAAAACATTGAAGGGAAAAAAAAAAAAACCATCAGAGCTAAGTTGTTTAACATTAACATATTCTCTGATAAATTATTTTTCACAATTCCATCACAACTTTACTTTAAAATTCCACAGAAAAACAATGATTGGGCCATTATTAAGAGTAGACTGGCTAGGAATTAGCGTCAGTTGAAACACACAAAATTCTTGAGAATTAGCAACAATAAAAGGATGCAATGATTGTCGCTCGAGTCTTAAATACATGCGTCAAACAAACTGAACACAAAGAACTTACCATGATTAGTAGAGAACAAAGAATGAAAATGCAGCAAAAGAACAAGGCTTATGTCAGAGAATGTCACTTCTTCCCCTCGAGTGCAAGTAAAATGTATTCTCAAATCAATTTTGCAAAGGTAATGTTGAAACTCCTTCAAAGCAGAATTTTTCCAGACTGAAAAATACACACTCCACCGGCTGTGTGCTAAAAAAAAATTCTCTCAGCAGCTTAGTGGCCCTTTATGGTGAAATATCTCAGATGGAAAAGTGAATTTAAAGCAGTAAAAACATTCTGCTGTTTAGCAACATTCTGCATATCAATTCATGTGGCCAGTTACAGCTGCATTTATACGCACATAGTTTACAAATTTTGTTTGTATTAACATATCTTTCGGCTCGCTTGATTGGCTGTGCTGCTATCAGAGTCATTTCTGCTCAGCAAGTTCTAATTTACCATCATTTCACTCTCAACTCATAACTTCACAGGCAGTAATACTCAACTACGTCACCCAGAAAAGAACATACTTTCATAACAGAGAAAAATCATGAAAGCAAGAGCAAAGAAAAGGAAAGCTTCAATTATCTAATATGAGGTTTAAACAGCCACGAGCCACCAGAAAAGTGTTATTAAAAATTCATGCTGACAACCATGTCTTGCTTTCAAGTAGCAGTTAAGAAGGAATGCTTACATGATGTGACCATTAATGACAGCAGAACTCAGCTTCAATTTTTCAGAGACAGGCTGATAATTTAAAAGCTTTAAAACAGTGTACAGATATGCACTAGTGATAGTCACACTAACATGACATTATACTGATATTAGAGAACTAATTATGCAAGAATTGAATATTTAACTGACCACCTGCTATACAACACACATCAAACATTCATGGCAACATTAACTGAGTTTTTTATTTCTCCAATACATGGAACAGACATTCTATTTTTCTTCACACACAAACACACACACAGCCTCAGAGCACAAAAGCAAAATTCACCATTTATTTTCAACAAAAAAACACACCCTTGAAATGACATTGCACAAGAATTAAAACCATTTTTGTAATTATTATTTAAACTTAGAATGGCTTCTGTTTACCATGTTGTCATGATGAAAAATCAATATTGTATTCAACACAAAAAATATCAACTTCCCCTCAGAAAAAATTGTTCAAAAAAAGCAATTCAAAAACAGTCATTAAACTAAGAAAAATGCTTCTTGAATGCACACACAAGAGTAAATATTTTGCCTAGATTCAAATCCTAAATCTGAAAATTCAACTCAGTAACACATATACAAATTTCTGTACCAGTAATTCAACTCTGTAATACATGTAAAAATTTGTGTAATTCAACTCTGTAATACATGCAGAATTTTGTGTCAACATTCACTCATGGTAATTTTGAACACAATTAATGAGATCTCCATTTTGTATTTTTGCTTTCTGTAACCACAACAAAACTGGACTACAACACAATATTTTCTTTCACTGACCAATTAGAAACATTGCTAAACAAACCAGCAGAACTGTAATGTAATTGACAGACTGGCAGTGGTTGCTGCAATGTAGCTGTGATCTTTATATTCTTTTGTATATGTACTACATGTACATGTATATCGCATAAAACCAAAATAAATTCACCCGCTCTGTAAAATTTAGGTCATGAGAATATAAACTATGTATTACACTGAAGCATCACATTCAAAGACTCAGACAATTTTTCCATCCCTGGCTTTTAAGCTCTGATCTCTCTAACCCATAAAAAAATATGAAATAGTCTTAGTTCTAAAGTGAAATAAATTTTGATAACCAAACAAGATGAAAAGAATCGCAGACAACTCTTCAACATGTTCAACTTCAAAACGAGGAATAGATTCTGTATTTAAAAGTTCCTTTTTCATCGCACTTTCTAATTCTATCGACTCTGCTTTTAATTCAAAGGACACGCCCTAAGGCATAAGCAGCATTTGTATGGATAATATAACTGATGTGCGTTACATAAAAATGACAACAAGGGGCTTAGGAAAATGTAAATGCAAATTAAGTTGCCATGAAAACAAAAATAAACAGTGACTGCGTAAATACATATTACGAGAAACAATGAGCAAAATTTTAAAAAATAAGAAAAGCAACCAAAAAAAAAAAAATTTAAAAGTTAAACTTCTCTCCAAAACTTAACATATGCTTATTCGCAAAATTTCCCATCATGATCCGTGACACCCCAACAGCAGTGCGTACTTTTATATTCTCCAAACTGTTCTCAACACATTTCTTAAGGGGCTGACAAGGAGAGTTTGCTTAACAATCTAGAACTTCTTTAGTTGGGTGATCATTTCATTTATTCTTGTGACCTTTGAATGTGATTCAAGGATGATATTGTAAGGAGAAAGTAGATGCTAGTCACCAGCAAAAATTTCAAATTGTTATCATTTAATTTCAATGCTTCACAGATGATCTTGCTATGTGCTTTAACCCTGTAACGCTGAAGATCTGATCAGTGCTGCAATTCTCCTTTGTGGAGACATACACAGTACTCTACATTTCCTTTAACTTTGATGAGGGAATTTGGTAACAGATCGAGATAACACCCTCAAGCTGATGAGACCAATGTATCAAAACTGTTAAAAAAAAATTACAAGTTGATCACTTCCAGGTGTTAAACTTGTTCAAATGAGGATAAATGGTGCAGGTGCTATAATCACACCACAGTTGTTTTCTCCAAGATATGATTAATTTTACAAAAATTTCTGCATCTTTCTGATCAAAATAAAGTTGTTGTTTAGGTGTCCAGCTCTAGCCCACAAGAAAAATTGAATGCACATAACACACCATCAAGTTTCTAATTAACTAAGTAACTGCGTAATTCAGACATGTATTCCAAATTTCCAGAATGTGGATGAATTGATGCATGCCATTCTAGAAGATTCTTTGCAAATTAAGGAAAAAATAGCAGTCTTTAGTCAAAATATTGTGACTGATGTTTTTGCTTGCCTTTCAAAAGGAAAAAAATACTAACAATATATAAGGTTGTAGTGCATAATGGTTCAGAGCCCAAAGAAACTATTATTACTTTGCCACACATCCAAATTTAGGCAAGAGAACAGACAGACTCCAAAAGAATCACAAAACCACAATGCTTTCTTGAGCATGTACATTTTGAGGCAGATTTATACACAGCCCCTCTCCAAGATTCCCTTTAAGAATGAATAATTTTGTTTCTCTTCTAATGGCAGATTCATATTCCTCTTGCATTAAGATTTCTCTGGTAGATATAATGTAACAAAATACGCTACATGTACAATACATTTTCATTAGACTTCACACGACATAATGTGCACTTGATTTCAGCAATGGTTACCAAATTAGATTTCCACTACAACAGAGCACACTACAGAACAGAAGGAAAGAAGCTCTCTATTTCTCAAATTCTGAAGACCAAACAAATTTTCAAAAATTTACCAGCACTTAAGCCATCCACACTGCCTAGCACTTAAGAAATTCATTGTCAATGTTGCAAGATGACAATATATTTCAGCCAACAAGGTATTGTCTGTTTTTGATACAGTTGTGTCCATTTACTGCATAAGCATAACATAATGCAATTTCAGTGTTAAAACTTGCAAGCACTGCTACCAGATAAGAAAAAGCTTAGTGTACTTAAATGTCACTGAACAATTACTAATAGATGTGTACTGTAGTAGTATTGGAGAAGAGGCAAGTGATTGAATTGCAACTCTGAATTCATTCTTTTCAGGATCATAGCCAGAAGTTCTTAAATACAAGTTGAAAGAAACCAAAGTATAAAGAACTCACTTACAATTTTTGGTACTGATAACATGTTCCTAGACATCACTTTAGATGTAGGAATAAAAAACAGACCTCTGCAGTAAAAGTTTACCAGTGGCTATGCTCCCTCTCACACTGAAAATGGCCACACATGTTCACAGCAATTTCTTTCATAAACAAGTAATGAACCACAGTACATGCCAAATACTTTTTAAAGAGATGTTTTACAAACTAGAACTTTCTAAATGGGAGGGAAGTTGAGACACAACACTCCAGAAGCTTCTTCATCAGCAAGAGAGAACAGTATCCCACAATGTGAACAATGAGGATTACTTTAGATTCAATTGTTTTTCACTTATCAGCCTTGACTACAAAGATAAAGATGGAGTTTAACAAAGAGATGTGTCATAAAATTCCTGAGATATGAAGCTGAAAAACAACAGAAGTGAAGTCTAGAGTAGAACATTTTTACCATCTTAAGACAGTAAACCAGGTTAGTCAAACAGATGCACACTACAAAGAGTACTTTAAACAGCCTTTGGAGGTAAAATAAGAAACAGATTTTGCAGATTAGGAGGAGTGATCCACATTCATGAAAATGTTTTCCTGAGTAAGGGACTTTTACATCCAAGTAGAGAATTACAACATCCTGTATAACTAATAATGCAGACATTAATGGCACTAACACATACTGTAAATCATTTTAAGGCCAAAATTGCTTCATAAATCTCAAAATTCAGGCCAAAATGGTGCATACTTCAAACATTACATCAAACAGACATACTGCACAAAATAAACTTCACCAGACATGTCTTTTCAGCAGTCATGGATAAAAGTCCAAATTGGTAACCATGTCCAGATGTAACATTCTATCATTACAATCAGTATATTTGAAATGCTTCTCCAAAAGTGAGAAATGTTCACAAAATCCTACTAATAGGTCAAAATATTACAACATAACTGATAACTAAAAGTTCCATCCAACCATGACTTTGAGAGTCAAACTATGTAATAGAATCTATATAAAAATTTCACCTTCTTCTTCTTGGAGAAACGAAACATTTTGATACCAGGATTTGCCTAATTTTCTCTGAGGACGTGCTCCTAACTTCCTAACAGAACACCAGACAAATACCTTGAAGCATCCTTCAGAAATAAACTGCTCATTAGTCTAATTATCAGGTCATTGATCAAACATGCTCATGTCCCAAGTATCAGTTTACAACAACATTAAAAAATTCCCACATTTTCTACATGTATTTGCCATTCAATTCAGGACAGTTTGGATCCATGTACATGCTTTCACATGTGTTTTCCTGACTCACAACATGACTAATTTATTCTTAAAGCCTCTATCATTTCAGGTTTATCCTATAACAAACTGATCTAACATATAAAAAGACTGAGACAGCCATTTCTATTTCTGTACATGTCCATGTATGTCTGTTCAATTACTGGTTCACCACAGATACAAATGTTGCCAACAAGCTTTAACTTGAGTCAAAATTAAGTTTCACTGCAACCTTGTCTTAAAAGATTTGAGAAAACTTCACCTGTGTAAAATGCACTTTTAAAGAACAAGAAATTACAGAAAATCTCCTCTGGCTTTATATGAAATTCTGTTACTCCTTTGAGAAGAAGGAATTATTTTGCTCTAGCAGATCAAAAATGTCATAATATAATGTTCAAAATGTATGTACAAAATCACTTTTTTCCCATGTAGAGACAACTTCAGCTTAAAAGCCAGAAAGCTCATTCTCAGTTCCACTACAGTAGCTTAGAGTATTGTAACCCAACCCATCTTCCCCCTGGACAGGATGCCATTACACCCCGAGGCTACACCCTACCAATTTGACAGTTTTTCCCATCATTTTGCGGATACCTTTTCAGACATATAACAGAGGTGCTGTGACAGGTAACCCTTTGACCTCTGAGAGTGATTAGCATCTAATTTCTCCTGACAATATCACCCATGAATCACACAATAAGGCCACAAGAGTGATTACTAATTAAAGCAGTTCTTAGAAAAAGATGTTTTCTGTCTTGTCACAAGCATGGGACAAGGAAAAAATTCTGAGACTCCATGACAAATCAATGTCCATAGCACCATGCTTAGTAAAGAGAGTAAGAGAGAGATAGTAAGTTTTGAGCTCTGTAAAAAAATAAAGAAAGATGTTTTTTCATCTTGAAGAAGTTCTTGGTTTTAAAGAAGCTCTTGATTGTTAAACAAATTCTCCTTATCAGGACCTTAGGAAATGTACAGAGAACAGTATGGAGAATATGTATACTAATGTTAGAGTGTAAATTATTGAAGGGTCTTAGCCATGAACCATAGATCCAGGGGCGTAACTTGAAATAAAATCCTATAAAATTTTGGAAATTATATTTATCAATTTCTTCCATAACAACAAACAGTGCATCAGTCAAGTCTCCCTCATCAAGAAAAGTTCTGGGACTTAACCAGTAAAAATAAAATGAAAACATTAAGGTGGTTCTGCACCTTTTCCAAAATTAGTTTTTTTTTTTTTTTTTCAAATTCTATCCACTGTGACTGTAGGAGCCTTCCTTGACAAGAATACAATTGCATTTTCACATTTTCCAAAATTTAAATGTGTTTGATTGATCTCCAATATCTATCATGAACCAATACTCCGATCACTTCATGTCAAACTATCCCTCTTCAAAAGCCCACTAAAATTTGAATACTCTGAAAGTAACTTAGTACTCGCTAGCAACAACTGAATTTCAAATCTTGAAAACACAACTATTCTCACTTCTTATTCCAGATCAAAAATTGTTAAATTGTTAAAAAGAAATCACATGGCTAAGCAATTATCATTTGATCACATGCAACACTACCTGAAATCCTGGTAACCCAAAAATTGCTGATATCACTCCTTGCATAAAATCAGAGTCATTCATTTCAAAAAGATAGCCTCTTTTGTGTTGCTACAATTTAACATTTAGCATTCACTCGATTTTTAAAGAAAACTCTGTTAGCTCATCAACTTGTGAGGATACATACATATACGTGTAGCTTATGGGAAAAAAACCCTTTCTTTAAACAGGCTATCGTTGTATACGTATGTGTAGATGACAATTACTTTCGAAGGAACACGTCGAATGAAAGTTGAAGTAACACGATACCTTCGTCATTCGACAGATCTTCAAAAAATGTCAACATAAACATGTCGTGGAGACAGATACCTTCCCGTACATAACAGATCTGAGTTGCAAATACTCTTTAACAGCTCTTGTATCAGAGATGTTCAGAAAGTCTTTATAATTATTATGAGATCATATGTTCGAAGAATGAATTATCGTTACAATTGAGCAAAATGACCGAAAGCCAGTCAGCTAAGAAGCAATAAAGTTACGTTTGTAGGATTACGAAGGACTAACGGCCATCAACTAACAGCGATTAAGGTTTTATTATTACCTAAATATATAGCTTAGAATCATTTCTCCCAAAACGCCAGAGAAACGAAAGTCGAGCTATTTTATCAAATAGAATATGGGCACTGAAATGTCTACCGAGCTCAACACGCAAAGTTATTTTGGGTAAACACGAGCGATCGTGTAAAGAACTCTCGATGGTAGAAGGCACTTCTACAACCAGAAAACTGTAAAAGGTTTCAATTTTTGTATACAACAGCTTGCTGGGAGAATAATTATGCAAGAACGTAAAAAAATCTCACTGTTGTGAAGCCTGACGGTTTGTTCTTTTTACGTATTGATATGCAAGTATGCCGAGGTAAGCGATCAAAATGAAACAAAGGTCTAGCCATTTCTATGACCAAATTCACCAAAACATTCAGTATATTTAAAGCGCCACAACCCAGACAAATCATAACATTTTCTATAGGCCCAATTTTGAGTTATTGTCGAGGTAATAAAATATATACATGTACCTTCGGGTAGCCGTCCAATTTGGTCATATGAATTCTCCTCGGATATGACGGACGATTCCAGACCTAGAAGTAACAAAAAACGCCGGTTTTAAAAAGACAATGGAAGAAAAAATAATCCCAAACGACCAAACAGACGAGAAGACAGCTCGTTTCGAATGTAGCTACGGTGAATGATAAAAAACGTTCAGGGAACGAGTTCGTTTGATCATACGTTCTCTTTACCTGATCATGAATATCGCTTGCAGTGGACACCGAGATCGTCGAACCTGTGTCGTCATTTGCCTCCTGAGCCATGACTTGATCTTATAAGAAGAATCATGCCATGGAAAGAAATATCTGCACGATTCGTGGACAACAAAATAAACTTTTCAGGCAATGTATGAATATAAGATCTTCACCAATACCACATAGACATCAGCAGATGGCTGCCCCAATGTGTGACGTCACCGCAACGTCGCACTTGATTGGTCTCCGGGAACAGCCTCGCTTGAGAGTAGAAATTTTGAGGAATTCTACGGAGGAAAGCGGTGGAACACTTTACAATACCTAGCGTAGAATTTCTACAGCCCAATTTCATCATTTTCAGTTTAAAAATAGCAACACTAAACGTGACCCGGAAGGAAAAATACTGTTACTAAATTTACAGGTAATTCGCTTCCCGTCACTAAAATATTCGGGCGCCCACGGTTTTCAGATGGTTGAATTTTCCGTGGGAAGGTAAGGAGCTAGCGAATATTCACTCGATTGAAAGCAAAGTGCACATTTTCGAGAAGTTGCGCAATTTCTGAAGCAACCAGAAAGCTTTTATTGCTTCTGCATTTTTTTCTCTCAGATATTGGCCTAGATCGTGTCATTCATTCTTATTTTTCACTTTAATTTAAGGAATTCCCGACATGAATTTTGTACGGCGTCAAACTTTAAATGTATACTCGTCTCGACTCAGTATGGGGCTACAGAAATTGTCATGAAACACAAACATAACAAAATGAAAACCACGATGTACAGATATCGCGGAAAAACTTCTAGAGCCGAATACACGGCAATAATACAATCTCGAAAGTTCTTTTAACAAATTGACCACGCTAGAAATTAACAGTTTAAAGTCACGTAAAATAAAAATCGTGCTGCGACTTTCCCTGTTTCCTCGCTTATGTAAATTTAGCATTTAATTAAAAAAGCATTTTAAACAGTTTAATTAATCACTTTACACCCTTTGGCTTGCTATTATTACGAGGAATTCAAGATCAGGCTTTTTACAAACAGTTGTAACAGAATTTAACGCGATCTAGAGAGACTAAACACATAGAATTTGCACTTGGTTAAACACACTATCTAAAACAAGCCATTTTCCAATTCAGTGTAACACCACAATTTGTGAACAGGATACGCATTTAAAGTGAGTATTAATGACTCATTCTGCGGTTTGAAATGAAACAAAATTTAATCAGAAAGGTTCCTCTAGAAAATATGTCATAATATAAAAGTGCCATGTTTTTGTCTGTGTGTGTGTTTTTCTTTTTGGCTGCGAGGAGCGCAGATGACTTCAAGCATGCGGTCGACCGTTGGATCTTTCAGGAATTTCATTAGCGAATAAGTACGCAATAAATTCCCCTCTGACGTAATGATTTAATTATACCACGGCAACAGGTCTGAGGACTGTTATGGGGGTTGCTATAAATAGAGCGCTCTTGGTCGCTCAAGAGGAACCTTGACGTCAGACCACGCAATTCACTGTTAACCTGGTTTATTTGGGTAAAAATTTGTAGTCGAATGTTTTACCTGAGCGACCATCGATTGGAGAGATACCAGTATGTAAATAATGAGGGTTTTTTCATAATTAATTAGCATACGATGTGTCCCACAATGATTATTACATATTCAGATAGTGGTTTGGGAGGCATGGAAAAGGTTTCAAAACTGCAATGCTAGCATTTTCATTTTTTTCATCCTGCGAGTTTGGGTTATCTTCCACTCTGACGAAAAATGAAACTGGAAAAAGCGGAGGTTACAATTAGACTCTCCATGTAAAAATACATGTACGGGCCTACGTGCGTGGCTGTTGCAATTCTCGTTAAGTAATTTGTAATGCCTTTAATTTTAAAGCGCATCTATAATTTTGTTATTCACGCGATTTTGCTTGTGGGTGAATATTTCGATTCTATTCTTTCCTAGCTTGAAATTGTACATCTAACATTGCTGGTCCTCCGCGAATGCAATTTGGGATGTGACGCACACAAAGGATTTTTATTATACCTCACAGTCCAATTAGGCCCCCCTTCCAGAGGTTTCCAGACTCCATTCCTATTAGATCTGAGTCTACATTTATTTATTTTTTATTTTTTCAATGGAACACGCTTTAATATGAAACGCTAAGTAAAAGCGTGACTTAAGCGGGAGAAGGCAAAGAGCGGAAGAGAAAATGCCAAGAAAAAGCATGTGTTTTCTGAATCAATGTTTAGACACCCCCCTCCCCCCCCAGGCCTGTTCCGATTGCGCTCGGCAGCAGTTGACGTTTGGAGCAGCTTTTTTCCGGTTCTGGCGGCACGTCGAGCAATGTTTGCCTTTCTGAGCTATTTATGAGCAAAATTTATATGATATAAGTCCAGAGTACATATCAGGCACAAAAAAGTCAACTATGTTAAATTTCAATTCATGCGAATTTCTTGAATATTTATTAATCTCTTGAATAAATGACCTGTAACTTAACAGCGTTTTGCTGGCCTATTGCGATCTTTGTCTAACATCCTATTGGATTATCGGCTAATATGACGTTCACAAGACATCAAATGAACCATGTGCTCTGTTCCGTTAGACTCAAGAGTGTCCTTAAATTTTCCCTCATTTGCGAGCAACTCTTTGCAGCTATTTTTCTTGACCAATGTCAGAAATTATTGTGAGGAACGAAAAAGAAAGCCTTTAGTTAACGTTCATATTAAAATATCGAGAAAGGTTAGGTATAACTTTTAAAATTTAGGAAGCACCTTTGTGTATTTTTTGGAATTTTTTTAGAAACTTTTTAATTTTCCGGTGAGCACTTTACAGGCCTATCCCCGCTAAATTACTGGATCCGCCTCTGCCTAGCCTGCTCCAGGTGTTGTGTTCGTAAACATGGTGGGTGAATAATGCAGAGCAAAAATAGTAGGAAAGCTTGTACAGTTCCGCAAGTCGTCACCAGACTCCTCTTCTTTCACTGTGCGTTGCCATCCTGTTCCGTAACCAGAACGCCAGGAGAAAGCGTGAGAAAACTTTGTTAAGGCTGGCTTTCTCTAACGATGTACTCGGAATGAGAGTCGAATTCATAATCAGTGAGGCAGATTGATACAATTCGGTGAAAATCAAACCAACAGAAACAACTTTGTGGCTTTACTTCCGACTCCGTTGGTCAATATCGCGGATGCAATGGGAGCTAGATTGAGTCGTAAGCATTGGGCGGGTTGTCAGACCTGCATTACGATTGTTTGGTAAAAATCATGTTTTCATTGAAACATATGCGCTTGGGTCAGGCCTCTCCCGATTGTGCTCGGGCTAAGGGTAGCTTCTAACCATCCATTTCCGTTCATGGACAGTAAATTAACTAAGACAGCCATTTTTGTGCTTCGTTCTGGCCGATTATCCGTTCTAATATTACATGCTTTTCGATTTCCATTTGGTCCGAAGGGCTCCTTCGACTCTGACTCTGTCACCATTGAAAACCGACCTATAAAGACTCAAGATTTTAAGGTTTTCGATTTTCAGTAAAATGAAAAGAGGGTTAGGCTCATGCCGATTGGATTGGTCTCAGTGGCGCAAAAACAAGACTTTGTTTCGTCTCGGATGTTTTCATAGAAATCACACGAAGCAAGGTTACTTTTATTGCCAATTCCTAATGACTTGCGTGACAGCGTGACAGGTTGCAATGGAAAATGAAATTACTCATGGAAAGTCGATAAAATCGGATGATAACAGTTTTTTTAGAAAAAATCAAAACGAAACAGGAAGAATTATGCATAAGGATGAATTTGATTAACCCACCGAATTCCATATATGAAGGGTTAGAAAAATTCTCGTCTCCTGAATATGTTTGGATTCATGCGAAAGCTTAAGCTGTGCTGCATGCGCTGTTTCTCATGGAAATTTCTAAAGAAATTGAACTGCGCTTCGGGCCGTTTGCCTATTTCCTGCATTGATTTTTCAGTGGCTGCAAGTAATTTTTTCCTTCGTTCTGAATGATCGACGATTTTGATTACTTTGGTTTTAGTTTTGCGATCCAAAATCGAAATTCGCTCTAAAAAGATTTTCAGTGAAAGTGTTTCAGTAGCTCATTTTGGGGATTCAGTCTGAGCAATGCTTTTTCGCAGCGTTGAATGTCGCGACAGTAATACTTAACTGTTCAGTGCTATTTAAGATATTTTCTTAAAATAAAATATGCGTAAATAGTAATAACATAGCGTAACTAAAGTAGACATGCGCGATGATTGGTCAATTTAGAGGCTCGTCGTTCACTGTGCGGAGCGCTAATTTGAATTGAAATCCTCCCTATTTGAACCCAGGGATATGCAACATTCGGATTTATGGCCCGCGCAATCCATAAATCTGAGCAGAAATAAACTTTTCGGTCTGAAACTTTTTGCACAATACGGACCTCGAACTTGGTTAATAAGAGTCACCTCCTCTGTGACGAGTTAATGTTCTATACTAACTTTATGCAAATGATAGATCAGCAAGTGTACTTTAGATATTACTCACTGATTTCCAAGGGAAAATACTTGGTACAGTCGTTATTCAGCTATAGAACTGCAGGTTGTGCCGGTTCATCGGCATATCGTCGTAATGCGTCGAGGAAGTTACGTCTTACAAAATACTCTTAGTTTTACCCTTCTGTTTTATTTGACCGATGAAAGCGCGCGTAGATTGCAGTTATTTTTTAGGAAACAAAAAAAATGAATTTGCATGCGCTTTGACGTCATTCGTGCAACTTGACGGGTGCTATCAAAAATCTGTTTTGATAAGCAGAAAATCGTGTTCATAATTTCAAGGAAATAGGGGCCTTCGATTAATTTTTAAAGGGAAATGAAGAAAAAGAGTAACACATACTGTTATATCACAGTTTGAGACGAAAGTCGTTTAGCTGCAGAGTGTATGCATTTTTGTAAACCGACGCTATCACCTTGGCAACGGAAAGGATGTGACGATGGGTAGCTCGTTTCATTGCGAAACTTTCTAAATGAGTGATCACGTTCTCACAGCTTTACTGGGAATGACTGCTTGATTTTAATCGTGTGAATTAACGACGTAAGTAAACAAAGAACGTGACATCGGATTCCTGCTTCCTTTGGCAAACAATGCTTTCAGGAGGTACAGTGATAGCAAGATGATAATCGATTGTTTCTTCGTTAGAAAAAAACAGGAAGGGATTTCGAGTCCTCGGTTAGATTCCTACTCCCAAGGATAGGCTTTAGGTGATAAGTTAAACAGAGGAAAAATAAATATATCCTCACTTAACTCTTAATTACCCCTAGTGTTGGCTTAAAAATAAATGAAGATTTGCCTGAGCAAATCCCAGCCAGTAAACTTGCATACAGAATTCATCTATAATTATGTAATTGCATCAATAGGGGAACTGAATTCCGAGTGTAGAAAATCCCTGGGATATCAGATTAGCAGAAAAATTTTACCCCTTCATCGAGGGCCCCTCAGGGATTATTTTAACCACTGACTTACAGGCCTTGAGATGATGATGATAATAATAATAATAATAATAATAGTGATATTGATAATAAAAGTGAAGAATCGCCTCTGTTTATCACTGACGGCAATAATTTTATTTAGAAATAATGATCACCGGGAATAGGGGAACAAAATTAAAAAAGAACTTCGGATACCAAGTTGGTTGTGCCCTCATGAGGTAAACCGAGGGATAGAAAGGCAGCTGAAATAACTTTTTTTCGAAAAATGATTGGCCAATGTCACAAAGAATTACAAGAAAATTCCGTAATCAGGCTAATGCTGTTAGAAGATTCCAGAAAGTACTATGAAGGCCCCAATGTCTTCGTGGAGCCCACGCAAATCACCTGCTTTTAGAATCGCGTCGATTCACGTCAGTTCTAACGTAAATGATTAAATTATAGAAACGTTAAAATATGCATTGCTTTTAAGTTAAAACAAGTAAGTGTCTCATTATCAGACGTCCCACTCACGCATCTCTCTCGTGACCATCACGCGTGACGCGAAGCGATGATAGCGCATGAAGTAATATACCCACAATGCCTTAGAGCACTATTAACCGCGCGGAACTGGGGACAGAAAAATCTGTCGACTCACCGCCATCTTGAAAAGCTACAATTTTCTTTCAAGAGTACTTTTCGCCGTTGTCTGGCATTCCTGAAGCAAAATGCCTGGAACAGAGGAACCGATTACTAAAGTGGTGGTCCACCCAATTGTATTGCTTAGCGTTGTCGATCACTTTTATAGAATGGGTAAAGTTGGAAATCAAAAGAGGGTTGTTGGAGTATTGTTGGGTTCAAGACGAAAAGGTGTACTCGATGTAGCTAATAGTTTTGCTGGTGAGAGATTTCTTTCTTATTTAGCACTTATGAAAAGATAAAAAATTTAAATAACTCTGGCTGTATTTGATCCTTGCAAACTCTGGGTGTTTTTCCAGGATCGGCTGGATTGAATCTAATTGATCGATCGTTCAGCTTTGACACGCACGTGTCAAAAAAAGGTAAAATTTCCGCACAGCCCCATACTATTGTAAAACAAATCTGTTTTCCCAATGGCAATATATTGTTTTGGTCACTGTTTTCTCTATCCAAGAACTGAATGCATAATGTAGTATGGGGTTGAGCGGAAATTTTACCAAAAAAAACTAAGCTTTTTTGTTTCTCTCTTAGTTTCTTTACACCTTTAAGAAGACAGTGATCTGATCTGTGTGTTTTCTTTGATAGTTCCTTTTGACGAGGACGAAAAAGATCCTACTGTGTGGTTCTTGGATCATGACTACCTTGAGAACATGTATGGGATGTTTAAGAAAGTCAATGGTGAGTCTTTTAATCCTCTGTCCCCAAAGAGTGACTAGCATCTAATTTCTCCTTACATTATCACCCCTGAGTCAGACAATTAGGTTACGAGGATAAAGGAATGATCACTGACTGAAGAAGCTCTCGGCTGTTAAACAAGTTCTCTTTTTCACTATCATAAGAAATGTGTAGAAAACACTATGGAGAAAATGCATACTGATGTTAAGGTGTAAATGGTTAACTCAACAGACTGCTGTCTGAGTTTATTGAGGTGAAGTCCTGTTGCATTGAACCTTTGGTGAATTATATTAAAATGATGGGAATCTAAGATGGGGCAAGAGGTTACAGTTTGTGTTTCTTTATTTAATTAGTTGCCCTCAAGGGTTTGTAGGAGTCCTGGAAAACCTAGAGAGTCCTAGAATTTTATACTGAAATTTTCTTGGACTGGAAAGTCCTGGAAAAAGACTATAGATCTTGGAAAGTCCTGGAACTTGGCTTAACACAAGCAATAGAGTTTTCAGGATTAATGCTATAAGAAAGGCGTACAGCCCATAAGGAGAATTGATTTAAAATCTAGGTAATGAATGGGTTTAACCCTTAAACTCCCATGAGTGACCAAGAGAGAATTTCTCTTTACAATATCAACAATATCAAGCAGAAAAGTGATGGGAATAAAGAAAAAATCTTGATTAGGGGATTATTAGTGATCCAATACCAAATTCTCCAAACTAACATCACAATAACTACTTGGCAGACAGTAAAGAAAAATTACACATGAGATCCTGGGAGCTAAAGGGACAAGGTGAAATGTAGAGTCCTGGAACAGACAATCTTAATCCTAGAAGAGTCTCAGAAAAGTCCTTGAAATTTGTTTCCGGGTACAAACTCTGGCCTTCTCTTTGATCACCTCAAGTCTATAACGATGTAACATTAATTACATAATTTAGTCAAAGCTTACCATATGTTCAGAGTTATTGTTTGCCTGTTTTGAGTTCAGTAACTTGTAACTTTTATGTTTACTTTTCTTTACTTTTTGTTAACCTTGTTTGCATGTTTGTTTGTTTTTCAATGTTCAAAGCACGTGAAAGGATTGTTGGCTGGTATCACACAGGACCTAAGTTACACCACAATGATGTCAAAGTGAATGAGTTGATCAGAAGATACTGCTCCAACTCAGTAAGTATTATATATTTCAAATCTTGCACTGATATTGGTCTCATACAGTCTTGCGCTGTGTAGTGTGTCAGTCTTTCACTGAGGAGCTCCTTATTCACTTCTCTGACAACCCTTTGTCAATGGGTCATTCAGCCCATGTATTTTTGGTGAAAAAGGTAGATCAAGTTTGTACTAGACACTAGCACTGGAGCTGCCCCCTTTTTTTAATTAATTTCCTTGCTTATTTTTTGTTTTCATTACCTCCTTTATTTTCTCACTAATGTATTTTTTTTCTTTCTTTTTCTTGACATCCTAATGTAAAGTAATGTAAATTCACGTGCAAGAAGAAAAAGTTTGTTCTTCAACCAAGTGGCCCCTTTAGGTGCAGCTTATCGTGATTTCCTTAGCATTAAATGACTAAGAAGTGTTGTTCCTCTGACCCTGAGCTGGGATGGATGGATGCTAGTCCACCACAAGTTTACTCCCCAGCATTTCATCAGGCTTCCCTGACAATTTTCCAGTACCTATTTGTACTCCTAGCTGAAGAGAGACACTGTGAAAGTTAACCCTATAAATCCCAAAGTCAGTTCTCTCCTTTTGGTGTTATACATTCCCTTTTAAATTTTTTACAAGAATTTGGAGGTAGATCAAGAGGACAAACTCCACCTGACAAGTTTGAGTTTCTCATTACCTGTTTGCTGTTTAATGTATGGATATTATGGGGAGAAGTTACCTGTTAATCACCTTTGGGAGTTAAAGGGCCAAGTGTTTTGCCCAAGAACACAATGCCTTAGGCAGAATTTGAACTTCAACCTCTCAACACAAAGTCCAACACACTAACAAATACTTTTGGCCACTGCTTCTCCAATTTTATTTTTTCACATCATCTGTATGTGTCATCTCCCATCAGGTCCTCGTGATTATTGATGCAAAGCCTAAAGATCTTGGTTTACCTACAGATGCTTATGTTGCTGTCGAAGAAGTACATGATGTAAGTTTTCCAACCTTGCAATCTCAAGATTGAAATTTTTTCAGTGGCAAGTTTTGAAAATTTGGTGTGGCATCTGTTAACATTAAAGCTCTCACAATTCACAGAACTTTTATTTCTGTATTAAACATTATTAGGATGGAACACCCACAACAAAAACATTTGAGCACATTGCGAGTGAAATAGGAGCAGAAGAAGCAGAAGAGGTCGGAGTTGAGCATTTGCTAAGGTAACAGGTTATTGTCCCACCTGGCGTTGTTTTCTTCATCAAAGTGTTGGATGAAACATTGCATTTCTTACTCTGTTTGACCCTTAAGCTTTCTTGAGTGACCAAGACAAAAATGCTCTGCATACCATTAACACAATTTCAAGCAGACAAGTGATTAGATTAAAGAAAAATAAAAATTAGTGGATTATTAGTTGATCTAGTACCAAATTCTCTGAATGAAAATCAAATGAACAGTATGGAAGACAGTAAGGAAAGTTACATAATGAGATTTACATGTAGGGTATCAGTTTAAGGGCTGAAAAAAATTATGTGAATGAGTTCATTTTCAGTTATTATTGGTTAATACATGGATAATTGTGTGTTTACTTTCTCAGGGATATCAAGAATCTTACTGCAGGAACACTGTCCCAACGTATCACCAACCAGCTATTGTCTCTGAAAGGTCTCAACTCGCGTCTCCAAGACATCAGAGATTATTTGGATAAAGTCGCAACTGGCAAACTACCTGTCAATCACACGATCATATATCAGTTACAAGATGTGTTCAATTTACTACCAAATCTGAGTCTGGAAGAGTTTATCAAATCACTCTCGGTAAAAACCAATGATCAGATGTTGGTGGTGTATGTAGCTTCCCTAGTTCGTGCCGTAATTGCTCTCCATAACCTTATCAATAATAAAGTTGCCAACAGGGATGCAGAGAGAGATGAAGCCAGCAAGAAAGAAGAGAAAAGTAAAGAGATTAAGGACAAGGACACTAAAGATAAGAATGCACAAGACAAAGAGAAAGAGGAGAAAACCAAAGCAGAGGAGAGCAAAAAGTCTTAATTGTTCATACACTGAATAACATTGTAAAAAAAAAACAACAACAACAACTTTGTCGTGGTAGAATTTATCACTTAATGGAGAAATATGCTGTGGAAACCATAATTTTTATCTCTGCCATCGATAAGTATAATTTAAAAATTAACTACTTATCTTATTTTGAAATTCCAAAGAGTAACTTAATCTTGGAAAGTTATCTTCAGTTGTGCAAAACTTTTGACAGTAGTGTTATACCTTCAAGTACTACTGTACCACCATTTTGAAAACAACTTGGTAACCTTCTCAGGAACTAGAGACCACACTGTTAGTTCACAAACAGCTGCTCTGCTTATTCCAAAAAAAAATCTTTAGTTTAGTCAAGAATGGTTTTTTGTGTGTGCATATGACTAAATTGTTAACCCATGACTGTCCCTAACATCAGTATGCAAATGCTCTATATTGTTCGGAATACATCTCTTTGCATGTGTGCAGACAAGGAGAATTTGTTTATCAGTCAAGAGCTTCTTTGGTTGGTGATAATTTCCTTTAGTCTGGTGACCTTTGTGGTTTGATTCAGGCTTGATTTTTCATGGAGAAATTAGATGCAAGTCACTCTGAGGGGTAAAAAGATTAAGATAGATTTGCAAGAGATGGGAGAGAAAGAAAAGTGAGAATTTGGAATTTTTTAAGCGGCCAGTTTGCTAAGCTGGATTCAAAATGGCAGTTTTTGTGGTCAAATTTGAGCACTGTAGGAATCAACTTTAAAAGTTAAGTTAACTCTTCAGAATCTCTTAATGTGATCAGTGTCATAAGTTCATATACACTTTTTGATAGTGGAAATAAATTAACATGGTGTTTGGAGCATACTTTTCCTCTATGACATTCCCAGTGTTTGTTGATTGATTGTGTTAATACTGGATCAATAACATCCATGCAACAGATTTGATCGCTTAAGTTTGTAGTTTAGCCATTTTCTTGGTAATAAAAATGTTCAAACTCTTTGAGTCTTGAAATATTTTTTCTAGTTTAAATCACAGTTACCCCATATAGCTGAGTGAACGCTATGTTAAAATAAGCTTTTTTCCCCTTCAATTTGTTTGGAACATAGTGCTGCACCTAAGGCTGCTCATGTCGTAGTGTAACGCTATCGATTGCTGTCAGAAATATTATGGCTATTCACCTTCGATGGAATCGATAAACTTAAGCGTTGAATGACAGAGAAGGAGTCCAAGAAAGGATAACCTTGAAAAACCGACCACTAGGGTCTACCGCTGCTTAAAAGACGCCTCTTGATTTGCATTAGACGGCCGGGCAATTGCGAAAATGCAGGTGCTGAGCTCTTTTTTTTCTTGTTAAAAATCTTCAGTTTCGCCAACTCGTCGCAACCTCTGTCATAGTTATCTCAGAACTTAGCTTTAAAAATACTCATTCTCCCTCTCTTCCGGTATAACAATAAAAATAGTACTTTACCCTGCTATAATTCGGTTACGACTCCTCCAAGGAGACTATCAGTTTTTAGAATCACGGAGTGCAAACAAGGCTACCCGTCACGCCATATTTTTAGGCCATGATCCTCACGAAACTGTTGACGTGACAATAGCAAGCTCATTCGCGCACGCTCCAACTCGGCGAGTACGATATAAGAAGAGTCGCAAGGAAATTGAGTTGATCTTTACGGAAAGCAAGAAAGCGACGAGGACTTATCTCATCTCTGAACGATATTACGTTACCTTAATCGGTTGTCTATAGATTCCAGTCCAGCAGCAGAATTTCGAGGAATTGTGCACACGCGGCAAGTCTTTCTGTGAACAATTTCGCTCAAATAGATATGTCGTGTTTGAGATCGAGTTATTTATCGACAGAATGAGTTTACCCGATAGCGACGGACAAAGGTTTGTTTTAACAGTAGTTTAATGCTTTAAGAAGGCTATATTTTTGTTTGGAGCTAGAGTGAACATAATTTCGATAAGGCTTGGATAATTTATACGCAAAGTTACGTGGTCTTTCATCGGTCGAGTGAATTTAGGAGTAAGTAAGATAGATTTAAATAAAAGTAGCATTGAAAGCATGCTATCCTTGTGGAATTGCAAGCACCGCGACTGATATAGCTTGAAAATTAAGATTAGTAGAGATTTTTTGAGGGAAATCAAATGTTTATGGATATCGCCAAGGACTGGATATAAAACTGAAAATCAGAAGATAAACGGATAGTTTATTAAAGGAGATCTTTTAGCACAAGTCTCCAATATCAGTTGGTAAGATGGTAAGTTTTGAGCTCGGTAAAGAAATAGAGTGAGATGTTTTTCGTCTCGTCACGAGCGTGGGACAAAGAAAAAAATTCTGATTCCCCCCTGAGGACTGAGGTTCGATTCCTTATGGGGACTCAGAAGTGTTGTCCCACGCGCGTGACAAGGCGAAAAACATATTTCTCGCCATTTTGATTGTTTTCAATTCCGACGGTAACATTAACAGCGACGCGAAGGTGAAATATAATTTTCCTCTTAGCCTAAATTTCATTTTACTATTATTTATAGACAATTTAGTAAGGGAACATGTATATTTTGTTTTGTTTTCGCCATGTACTTTGCTCTTCCAGTTGAAATTTGCAGAGTAAAGAGAAAATAGTTTTTCCGCTTTCGGTTTTGAATGTAATGTATGCGTTTTACAATAATCAGTCACGCAATCATCTCATCAAAACATGATGGCACATCTGTTTATTACACCAAGCCTTGCTCGCTGCTCCAAGTAAAGCAGCCTTGTACTTAGTACAAAAGATGATTCACAGGTCAGCACACAGCGACTGAAGATGGCTAAGATTTGTTTTTATTAATGTTTAACACCAATGCTGTGTTAGATCACTTATCTTACACTTTGTGGCGTGTTCCCTTGAAAGCGGTGTCAAAAGAAAGTATAACTATTTCGCAACATATTGTTATCATTAAAAAGACAATTAGGTAAAAGAGGCAAAAACACAGCTTCTAAAATTGTCCCTAAATTTAGCTCTATGTGCAAGTTCGATATCATCAATTTTTTTATCACTGAGTTGCAATCAATATCTCAAAAGAGGGATTCATCTTAATACCAAGTTTTATAAGTCTGTGCTTGCGATCCAGTGCCACCTTAAATTACAGAAATTAAAGTCAAAGTCGCTCTGAACTGTACGTACAGATATTTATATAACTTCGCAGAAGATACTTATTTCAAGAAAACAAAAAATTTATTGGAATGTTTGTTTTACAGTAGTTCCTCATCTAATGAAACAGATGAAGATGATGCCACTCTCCCGGAACCGTCAGAATCATTCGTTGTGAACCAAATCACTAAAAAATTCGAAGAATTACGCCAGCGACGAGAAGACCTGCATAAGGCTTTTGTGGAATGGATACCAAAGAGGAAAAACACCAGAGAGCAACTGCAAGAGTTGGCGACAAAACTTCACGAACATCATAGAAATGTAAATATATCAACCGTCACAGGGGCGTCCTTGGGTACTTTGGGAGGGGTCCTTTCAATTGCGGGTCTCATCGCTGCACCCTTCACCTTCGGAGCTGGGCTCGTAGTCTCACTCGTTGGCGCCGGGATTGGAGGCACGGGAGGTCTGGTGATGTCTGGTTCCAAAGTAGTTGAGATAATTCTCACGAAGTTAGGATTAAAAGAAGTACAAGAAGCCATTGATGTGGACAGGGAAGCTTGTGCGCAACTGCAAGAAAAGTTGGAAGCTCTTGAGAACTTCATCTACGACCTAGCAGAGTTTCTGAAACCTCTTCACGACGATGCACAGTTAAAAAGAGAATTAGAAGGCAGTGGTTTTACATTCCTTCAAAATTTAGCCTCAAGTGAATTCGCGACTTCTCCCGAAGAGAAAGTGGAATTCGGCGCCAGATTCTTCCGGGTTTTTTCGTCCGCGGCGTCAGTCTCGGCCTCAGCGTTCGCTACCGCGGGAACTTTGGCGCGAAGCGCGGCTTTGGCAGGAACACGCGTTGCACACGTGGCCGGTTCAATAGTAAGCGCGGCTCTTCTACCTTTGGACATCACTTTACTAGTGAAGTCGTCTTTAGAGCTTCAAAGAGGCTCAACTTCTAAGGCGGTGGAAGATATCAGGCAGATTTTAAGCGAGTTGGAATGCCCAGAAGAGGAAGAGATTCAACTCATGGTGGAGAGTTTTATCGACGAAAAGTTTACTGAGGCCTATAATGATGACATAGGCAAAGGCGAAGATGACAAAGGCAAAGATGACAAAAGCAAAGGCGAAGACGCCACAGGAAAACCAAAAAATGGTGGCGCGAACAATGATTAGATGGTTGAAGAGGCTGGGACTTTATAGTTAACATTTAAACTCACAAAATCTGATTCGTTAATCTCCCTTCTGACTGTAGTATATTTTCTCATAAATTACTCAAGACAATTTGGTGTTAAACAAGACAACCCTCCTTAGATGATAGGCTTATATAATCTCAACATCTGTTTGCTAGATTATGTATCGCAATGTGTAGGAGAAGTTACACGTTGATCTATTCTGGGAGGCTCAGCTTTATCAAGTTTTAGTCGTTTCTGCGTTAACAATTAGTTACATTAGAAAAATATACTTTTTGATGTAGAAACATCTCGATTATTGACGAAATAACTTTCATACAATTTGAGAAGAAATTTGTCCTTTAAATTTTTTTCCTAAAAGTGGCGCGTTACAGAAAACTGAATTTAGATTAACCTGATGTAAAACAAAACGAGCTTAAAATGAAATAGAAAATTCGATTAATGAATGAGGGTATTTAAATGTCTTCGTAGATAGACCTCACTAATTTATTAAAATGTCGACGAAATTGAGTATCGTTGGATGTTGGTAAAAAGTAAGCTAATCTAGAAGACGGTAGTATTTAAAACGTAGCGGTTTAAGTTATTTAAAAGTTGTTATTGGAAGTTGTCACACTACAAACTGCATTCATGAACAAGATCATTAAGAAGAGATGCAGTTTATTTGTGCTGTTATTTACTGTGTTAGACGCTAAGATGAGAAAGGTTATCAAGGCGGGAGATTAATAAATTCTTCTGCCTTGCTTTCAAAACTGTACTTGCCTTTAAAAATTTCTCTATCTACTAATAGAGAGGATACGGATACGAAACTACCATGGTGCACGCATAAGCCACTAACCGCTCTGTTCACGTGCAACTCTAACAAACATTGCCTGTTCTAAAGAGCGATCTTTCACCTTTTTTCGACCAAGAGGGGCAAACAAAGGAACACATTTTTCTTCTAAATGGAGGCCATTGTACTTATTTCCTTACAAATTATTTTGCAGCGAGCAAAAAAATATATATAAACAGTAGCATTCCCGCCTTGTTACGGTTGAATTTGTAAGAGTTCTCTTGTACGGCTTTTATAGTTCTACTACCAAATGGCTCTCGGTGAGTCTTTCCAAGTCCGTTCAATTTGGACATTTGTACCTTAAAATGCACAACAGAAGCTGAAGGAATTCAATGAAAAAAAGCCCCATCGAACCCTCATGTGTGTAGTTGAAGTATCTCCTTCGAAATTATGGAGGAAAGACCAGATCTACTCACGCCATTGCAGCAAACAAACGAGCAAATTCTCACTCAAAAAATTTTGAAATAAATAAAAAAATTGGAATTTACTTACAATTATACTTTCCTTGCCATTTACTTACTGAACATAGGTAAATCTTCCTCATTAATTAATCGTCGATGAGAGTGAATAATAATTTCCGTAAGATCGTTGACTGCTTTTCAAGAAAACATTGTCGTGACAGGCCTTGCAAATCTAGTTCCGTTGTTTTTTCAAAAGTGTGCATCCGCTTTTTTTTTTTACGCGCTCTCTAATTGACCGGTGTCAGATTGTAACAGATACCTGTAAAATAATGTTTCAAAGTTCGTTTAGAAGCCTTTTAAAATCACGTTTATCATTACGCAAATCAAAATATTTCGGGGAAGCATCTCTCTTTAATTTGCATTACCTCTATTTAAACTACCACATACTCGCTCAAAAATTGTTCAGTTTATGGAAGATCTTGCCGTTACTACAACCCTCCACTAAATCATTCGGGTTTTTTTTGGAAAGAATTTCGTTAAGCTTAAGGAAAAAAAAGTGTTATTCACCAGCCTAAGTCGGTCCGTGTCGGGAAAAACTGCGCCCTCAGTCTTGAGTACGGTTTTCCTCAATACAGACCTTCCAGCTGGCGAATAACCGTGTACTTCTCAGTTCTTTAGCAGATCCACGCACCGTACATTCATTTTCGGACCAGTATTCATTCTTTTAATGGAATATTGAAGAAAACCACCCTTAAAAACCACCTTTAAGAGGCTGCACATGACAGAAACAATCCTTTCAGAATTGTTCACGTTTATTTGTTATTTATTAACCGTTTATTTGTATGATATCAGGCATCAGACACGTGCACATGCGCTTGTCGTGTGTTCAGTATGCAAATAAAAATCAAAGTTTCTGGGAATTGACTCAATTTGAGTCACTCTGTTACGGCGTACTGGATATATGAATACGAGTTATCCATAAAAGAATGAATTTTCAGGATCTTGAGTCGTTAGAGGTGGATTGGAACGACGGACAAAGGTTTGTTCAAGAATATGTGTATACCTGTACGTCAAGAATGATGAAATATTTTGAATTTTTCGAGACCATTACGCTCTAACGAATTCACGATCAAACTTGCGGAAGGAGGAAGTTTATCTGTAGACTTCTAAAATATTTCGTGGTTATTCAAACAAAATCTTACATTTCCCACCAATCAACATTGTTTAAATCCAATTTTGAAAAACAGCAACGAAAAAGCGACAATCTCTCTCCAAAATCGTGTTTTTGGACGTCGAAACAAATTTGGCCCTATACAGTCGAACCTCGATTATTCGGACCTCGATTATCCGGAGTTCTCGACTTTTTCTTTGGTCTCACATGAGGAGCTTTGGCCCCGAAAAAAATTCGCAGCATGCATTCTACGGAGGCGTTATATTTCTGTCATCAGTGTAGAGAATTACATCAACGTTTGCGGTCGGTAGGTGTCTGTGCGGTTACTTAAACCTGTTGATTATAAGTTAAAGGTTCACCTAATTATTAATACTGCATCTATGCTCGAATTTCAATTACGAAAACACAAGAAATCTGGCATTAAAATCACTTGGCGCGATCTTATCATGGAGGCTGAAGACTTCGATCGATCGGCTGAGCTTTCTATAGTTACGGGATCCAATCTCGACCCCAATAAGTCCTGGTATGTGCTAACGAAAAGTTAATGTGAAATCAGGCCGAAAGCTTTTGCAAAGAACGAATTGTTTCGTCGATTCCGCGATGACTACAATACGTTCTGTCCGGCCAGCAGGTCTCAAGCGCGCCAACAAAGGCTAGCTGTTCGTTCAACGCCAGGTAACCAAATAACATGCATGTTATATCTTCAATTGGTCTCCATGCCAGATTAATTAGACAGGGAGAAATCCAGCAGATGGATTCGTAAGGTCTCAAAATATAATCTTGTTGTTTATGCGGTAAATCAAATCGCCCTCGACCGTACACTTTAGGCGGGAAATGCTTCCAGTCGAAATATCATGGGAAATTGCAATGATGTCAGTCAAGAATAGCCGAGCTTGACAAAGACATTCGGGAACTAGTAAATGATAATAATTATATAAGTAGATGCCTCAACTTTCAGTCAAAAGAAAGAGTCCAGACAAACAGCGGTCTCCTGATATAAATTTGTGTGAATTCAATTTTTCGTGCCCTCTTGGGTAGTGTATACCTGAAGGGTTATTTAAATCTCTTGCATACCCTCTTGGATAGTGTATACCTGAGGATTAATTTTTAATATCTTCTATACCCTCTTGGGTAGTGTATACCTGAGGGTTATTTTAATCTCTTGCATACCCTCTTGGATAGTGTATACCTGAGGATTAATTTTTAATCTCTTCTATACCCTCTTGGGTAGTGTATACCTGAGGGTTACTCTTAATCTGTCCTATACCCTCTTGGGTAGTGTATACCTGAGGGTTATTCTTAATCTGTCCTATACCCTCTTGGGTAGTGTATACCTGAGGGTTATTTTTAATCTCTTGCATACCCTCTTGGATAGTGTATACCTGAGGATTAATTTTTAATATCTTCTATACCCTCTTGGGTAGTGTATACCTGAAGGGTTATTTAAATCTCTTGCATACCCTCTTGGATAGTGTATACCTGAGGATTAATTTTTAATATCTTCTATACCCTCTTGGATAGTGTATACCTGAGGATTAATTTTTAATATCTTCTATACCCTCTTGGGTAGTGTATACCTGAGGGTTATTTTTAATCTCTTCTATACCCTCTTGGGTAGCATATACCTGAGGGTTAATTTTAATCTCTTCTATACACTCTTGGGACTTGAGTAGTGTATACCTGAGGGTTATTTTTAATCTCTTGCATACCCTCTTGGGACTTGAGTAGTGTATACCTGAGGGTTATTTTTAATCTCTTGCATGCCCTCTTGGGTAGTGTATGCCTGAGGGTTATTTTTAATCTCTTCTATACACTCTTGGGTAGTGTATACCTAAGGGTTATTTTTAATCTCTTCTATACCCTCTTGGGTAGTGTATACCTGAGGGTTTTTTTAATCTCTTGCATACCCTCTTGGGTAGTGTATACCTGAGGGTTATTTGTAATCACTTCTATACCCTCTTGAATAGTGTAAATCTGAGGGTTATTTTTAATCTCTTGCATACCCTCTTGGGTAGTGTATACCTGAGGATATTCTTAATCTCTCCTTTACCGTCTTGGGTTGTGTATACCAGAGGATTATTTTTAATCTCTTGCATACCCTCTTGGGTAGTGTATACCTGAGGGTTATTCTTACACTCTCCTATACCCTCTTGGGTAGTGTATACCTGAGGGTTATTTTCAATCTCTTCTATACCCTCTTGCGTAGCGTATACCTGAGGGTATAATAACCTTTTCTTATCCCTCCTAACTCGGTAGTCGCGAAAGACGATATTCATACGAGTGAATTTGTTCCCAATGACCTAAAATGCAATAACGATGTTTTAGACCAGCTTCTCCCCTTTTATTGTCGATTTTGACAAGACTGATGTCTTCGGAAAAGCTTAAAATGCCGTTCCAAACTAAAACCTTCGCACATAGAAGATCATTATAAGAATAACTGCATTGCGCCGAAGCTTGAAGACTGAACAAGGCGACCACCAGTTGGAAGCGATGTGTATTCTCTAGATTATCTAATCAACACAGTTTCTGGACTTTAAAAGTTGAAAACCATGACCTGTACAAAGAAGGGTTTGTCGGAGTTAACCTTACGTAGGCCTAGGTCTTCGATCATGGAGGTGAAATCAGCTTTACCGGTGCCGCTTTTTAGGCTATTTTTGTGTTTCTTCGTTTTACGTGTTTTAAATTGTTCCCGTTATATGTTTCTTTAACATTTGGTAAGGAATATTTGTGGACCTTGTGTTAACGATTTACTGTTGTCTTCTTTACGACATGTATTGTCTCTACAGAGAAAATAAGCTTAGCGTACCGCCCCTTAAGTTTTTTCGAATTAGACCCGTTAAGTTTGTATGAGACATTTCTCTGGACTCTTGTTTCTGGAAAATGAGTGAACAAAAATTGCAAAGTTGGATTTTTTAATGTTAGGAGTTAGTTTGTTGGCTGTAAACCAGTTATAAAGGTTTTGTAGCTCATTTTTTACCATTGTCTAAAGATCTTTCAGATTTTTGTCCGCATACAAAATGTTAGTGTCGTCTGCAAAGAGGTAAAACCTAAATTTATTCAAGCATCTGTGGATATCACTGACATATAGCAAGAAAAGCGATGGTCCAAGAATTGATCCTTGAGGAACACCACCTCTAACGACAGCTTTGTCTGATATATGATAGCCTACTTGCGTTTTTTGCGTGCGATTTTTGAGCTATGAGGAGAAACAATCATTAATTAACCCACGAAAGCCATAGTGATTGAGCTTATCAAGCAAAATGTCGTGATCGACGGTGTCGAAGGCTTTTTTAAGATTAAGGAATACTCCACAAGATAACAACCATTGATTCATGTTTGTTTCTATATCATTAACAATGTCCAATATTGCGTGTTGGGTTGAATGCCCCTTACGAAAGCCGTATTGTGAGGAATACAAAAGTTCATGTTTCTTTAAATAGCTCGTCAATCTGTTGTAAATTATTTTTTTGAATACTCTATTAAAATTTAAAAGTAAAGAGATAGGTCTGTAGTTGTTTGCATCTGTATCATCGGCGTAATTTTAGCAATTTTGAGCTTTGATGGATAAGTCCCTAATCTGATAGATGTATTTAGTATCCCTGAAAGAACAGGGGCTGTGACGGCACTCGAACATTTGAGTAGTTTGGTAGGTGAGGAGTATAAACCATAAGACTTATCATTCGGTACAAGTAATATTTCTGACAATTCTTCGGGTAAAACAGGTTGAAATAGGAAGGATGAAATTGGAGATTTACACTTATCAACGTAGTCTAGATGATGTTTTTGGGGAATGGGTAGGTTATTAGCAAGTCTGTTTCCGACTGTCGCAGAGTGTTCATTAATAATGTTAGGTATCCGCGAACCTTCCTTAACAATTTTGTTACGATTATTAATAATCCTTTAGTGCAGATGTGACTTTGAGTTTTGTTTCCGCGGATGTAAAAGTTCGTTGCTTCCTTGTTGACCATACTGTTTTCGAAAAATGTATCATAATATCTCCTTTTGCTTAAGCGTATCAGTGTACAAATTTTATTTCTATAGTGTTTGCACTTAGTTTTGTCTCCAGTTGCATATAATTTATTTCTAACCTTAATGGCCGCTTTATTTCCATTAGTTATCCAAGGGTTAGGTAGCTGTTCTGCTTTGCGATGAGACATTTTTTTCATTTTTTTCAACAATTGTATTATACTTGTTGTAAAACGACGAAAACAATTTGTTCACACAATTTGTTCCATTTGCAATTATTCGATTCCAGTCAACTTCAGACAGCTCATCGTTAAAGTGATGTAGGTTACGCTGAAATCTTGCAGATAACGTGATGAATGGAAAAGTTAAACATAGTCAAGCAGATTCTAAAGTGCTTCAAGAAAGGAATTTTAAAGTCTACTCTGGATCACGTACACAAGTCTACACACCCTGCTTTAAGGGTCGTTTTCGTGAAAAATATTTGGGGTCTGTGAGGACCTTGAGTGGAGCTCTTAAAGAGAAGGGACATGTGGCACTGAAAAGGGGGGGGGGGAAGGCACAGAGTTTTTAAGAGGAAACGGAGCGGAGAGGGAATCACTTATCGCCAGCAGAATATAAAAGACTGCCAATAAACTGCTAGTAGGGGGGAGGAATGGAAAGGATAAGAATATTACAGAGTCTTATGGAGGGGGGGGGGGAAAGGGGGGAATCAGATAAATGTTATCGAGACAAAATCAAACTCCCTCAGCTTCCCCTCCCCTCTCTCAGGCCTCAGGCGAATAATACTGACCTATCGGAAAGCAGCCCAGCACCTAAACAGAATAGATCCTTAAAAGTTAAAATAATTCTTTTTCTTCATTGAATATTTGTCTTGCAGTATTTTATTGTCAGAAGAAGTTTATGCCCAAGTCATAACGAGATTCCGAGAATTAAACCGGTTGGAGGAAGAGTTGGTTGACACCTTTAAGCAGTGGATTCCGAAGAGGAAACGCACTATGGAAAAACTGGAGGAACTTGCATCCAAATTACACGGGCAACATATAAATGTGAGTAAATCGACCATAGCAGGTGCTTCCGCGAGTACCGTAGGAGGAATCCTAGCGATAGCGGGCCTGATCGCCACGCCCTTCACTTTTGGGGCCGGGCTTGTGGTCTCCCTCGTTGGCGCCGGAATTGGAGGCACAGGAAGCCTGGTGATGTCTGTTTCCAAAGTAATCGAGATAATCCTCGCAAAGCTAGGATTGAAAGAGGTTCAGGGAGTCATTGACGAGGACAAGGAAGCTTGCACGCAACTGCAAGAAAAGTTGGACATCCTTGGGAGGTTCATCTCCGACTTCAGAGAAATAGAAAGCAATGGTTTTGAATTTCTCCACAATCTAGGCGGAGAGGAGTTCACGACTTCAACTGAGGAGAAAATAAATTTCTCCGCCAGGTTTTTCCGAGTGTTTTCGGGTGCGGCTTCGATAGGGGCAGGAGCTTTTGCTGCAGGTGCTTTCGCTCGAGCTGGGGGTCTGGTGAGAGCGGGTGCTGCCGCGGGCGCGGGCGCGGCCAACTTAGTCGGAGGAGTTGCTGGCGCCGTGCTGTTACCTGTGGATATCTACTTGCTGGTGAAATCGTCTTTAGAGGTGCATAAAGGCTCAACTACGCAGGTTGTGGATGACATCAGAAAGTTACTAGACGAATTGGAATGCCCAGAGGAAGAGGAGATTCAGGAGATGGTAGGGAAATTCATCACCAAGAAATTAAGGGAGGCCTTGAATGATGGGGATTCAAACGAAATATAAAGAGAAAACGGTGATGACTTGAGACAGGCCGAAACTGTAGCGATTCATTAATCAAAGAGGAACGTCAGTAGCGATAACAATAGAATGAAACCTTGGTGAAGCAGATTAGAGCCTTTGTTAAATAAGTTTTTTGTCGTAGATTGGAAAACTGTGCACCCCTGTAAGTCGTGTCCAGTTCAGCGATTCAATGTGTTAAACGGTAAAGCCGCAGAATGTTGAGTAACAGCATTGAATTACTCACCATTCTTAGCCAGATGAACTTACGTTATCTCTACACATATTTTGATTCATATTTCCTTTTAGCCATCCGCCATAATAGAGATTATAACAAAGTCGGCAAAACATCTTGTTCCTGATTATTTAACTGCCAATGTGTAAGTAGACTGCGGGAATTCCGTTCTGCACCTACCCCTCCCTTAACCCAACAACAGTCAACTGATAACAAGCTAGGTTTAATGATGGGGGGGGGGGGAGGGCTAAGTGGACAGTTTAGATACCGTTATTGATCCATTGCATCATATATAACGACCTTTAGGAGAACAGAAACTTTTTCAAACTTTTGAGTTGTGTTTTAAGTTATGCGCACCCAGAATGTGAAAGAAGCCTTAAGTGATTTGGTTGATAACATAAAAGACGACAAAATTCACTAACGTTCTAATCATTTCCATCATTACACGCGATGAAAGTGGCTCAAAATAGCTGATTTGTTGAAGTTGCGACAGCTGCACACGGTTCCTACCGTAAAAGAATTCACAGTTCGGCTCGTTATCATTGTGCAATGTATTCGAACCCGTTGAGGCCTGTGCCAATCCCATACCAGTCGAACATTGGCAAGATCCCTTGTCAGTTTATATGCGTCAGGGAGAGATATGCTGCGGAGAACCCTGAAATGCTAACATTTGCTGTTGAAAAGTTTATAAAAACAGTAACTACCTACCGAGTTTTGAGTTTCCATGGAGAAAACGAACCTTTCGAAGATTCTCTTCTTTGCCACAAATTCGAATGCGGACCCCGCCATTTTGAAAAACAACTTTGTAACCTAGCCGGAAACACACGACATCCCGGAAGTCAACTCAAATGGCAGATCAAACCTCGCGCTCCACAAACGGCTTTTGCTTAATTTGCTGCTTGGCCGCTTACGCCTGGGTTCGAATCATTAGGGTTCGAGTCCGGCTGTGATATGATTCTTTTACCCTCTAGGTAAGCGGCTAAGTTACTAAACAGCAATCAAGTTTCAGGCGCATTCGAAGAAAGGTTACCCTCCTGTCTAGAATGTCACAACGCAGTCGTGTCTTAATTTCAAATATGCTCTTTCATGGCGGAAAAAATAATATGGTTTCCAAAGCACACTTTCAATTTCCCTCCGAAAAGGCACTGGAATATATCAAGCATAATGGGAATTCAGACGGACTCTTGAAAGTTTAACCCTATAGTCTGGGAGCAAATGTGGTCCCGTGTGAAGTTCGTGCTGAAAGCAAGCACCTAGTGTAAAAGTGTTCACTAGGACCTACTAAACATGAAAAGTTTTGGTGCTAGCTTTGCAACTTGTTCAGACGGCTTTTAAGGGGGCTTAAATTCTGACCCATGAAATCCAGCATGAAAACGAGGCTAAAACACATAATTCCTCATAACTTTGTTAAAAATAGACGAAAATACACCAAATTTGCTCACATGATTGGACATGATCCTCTCTGTTGATTTATTCTAATTTGCATAGGTCACGTGACCTTACGCATGAAATCGAGGCTGAAACACATAATTTTCCATAAATTTGTCAAAAAAAAATCCTTATCATGCCAAAACTTGCTCACCTTAGTCAGTTAGACATCTTGCATCGATTGGTGCCACTTTGTAGTGTCACGTGACCCCATACATGGAAACGAGGCTGGATATATCTGGTAGCATCGTGTAGGATGGCATTTTTCTTGCCAAATGTATTAACAACTACTAGGCAGATACATATCTGGGTATCCGAGTTCAGATATAAAAACTTCAACTAATCATTGTCCTATGGCCCATAGCACAGGGACGAGATGGATAAAGCAAATACTGCGGAGGCTCCATCTGAGAATCTATCTTGTACACATAATCAATAATTTTGTCAACTTATGATACTGGTTCCATGTATTCATTTTCGCATGTATATTGGAACAAGAGCAGAAAATGAAAATAGCGACTACTGCTATTTTATATATACAGTCATGAAAGTCTTACTGAATATCTATATACATTGTTCTGTTGTCCATTCCTATGGAATTTCCTGTTCGATTTCGTCTTCATCATACTCATCATCACTCTCAGCATACTCGTTCTGGCAATCTTCAGAGCACAGACAGAGATCAGTGCAGACAAGTCCGGCTTTTTGACGCTGACAACGGTTGTTAGAGCAACGGGACTTGGCGCACTTGCATCGGACAAGCTGTATAATTGCCTCTGGAGCTGGTGGAAGACTTGTCATGACTGTTACCCACTTTCCATCTTCATCTTGCCATCCATAGCCTTCTGGTGAGGGCAACACCGGGTTTGCTACATGATCGTTGTTCCAAACAAGAAGCTGGTAGTGCGCTCTCAGTATGGCTTGATGGAGAGCAGCTTGTGTGGGCGCAACCTCTCAGACTCAGTTTGATTTTTCTTAAAGAGGGACCATCTGAGGGCTTTGACAGTTTTGATGTCTGTCTTTGGTTGGTACATCCGACAAACCAGCTATTCCACTCCACTTCTTGTGCCGTCATCTGGCTGTTCCCCACAACCGAGGTTAGCAAGAGCTTGCAAGATAGGAGTGCTGGCGTTATCAAACTCATCCCAACAAGTGGCTTTTCCCTTTCCAGAGAAACTCCCAGTAACATCTGCTCCGGTCAACGCATGAAATGCTGACAGCGCAGCCGTCTTAGTGGGCCCAAGGGCATCTGCGATTGACTTCAAGTTGATAACTCTACGACTATTGCCGGTCCCAGTAACAAAGCAAGAGTTGGAGCACAAATCTGGATACCGTCGGAGAGCCAAAACAAGAACATCAGTGTCAGGAGAATATATAGATAGTTGGGTAGCACCTTGAGCAGAGGCATCCAGAGCATGTAAAATAATCTTCGTGTCGGCTTCTTCTTGTGTACTTCGTAAATGCCTGACGTCTCTGTGCGTTGCCTGACATTCCGTTCCCCGTGCCACAACGACTTGTCTCCCATTAGCATTATTCTTCACATTCTTTGCGAGAAACGTAGTAAGTTCGCCCTTGGTCTTTGAATGAGCAAGAAGCTTCTTCATCGGCACCTTGGCGATGTGGGTAGAATCAGTGATGCGATAATAAATGGGAGCATGGCCACCTTGTCGTTTGACTCGTGTTGCTGATTTCAGTGAGGATGGTACATCATATCTCTCTCGAAGATTATGTGGAGCTCTTGTAAATCATAATACTTTACAAGCAAGCGATTCCTGAAATGTTCAGCCAAGTCTCTACAGTTCTTGATCCACTCTGGCTTGTCAAGTGATTGGAGTTCGGCCATTCCATCAACAATCGCGACTTTGAATCCTGCGGTGATTTCTTGTGTATTAGTACTAGGGCCACCTGCCTTCTCTAGGATATGCATAAGGGCACTCTTGCAAGAACAATGCAACATGGTACCATCTCGTTGAAACAAAGATCTTGGGACAACAGGAATTTGTGCGAAATAGGATTGTAGAAATCGCTCATAATAAAGTTATATAAGCCACACGAAATACATTATCATTACACCTTTTTAGCTTTTATTTTTTTCATTCAAATGCTATACATACAGCATTAATATGCATTACAATGAGTCAACCTTATTGTCCTGGATGATGTGTTCACCTTTGGCGTGTTTTGCAATCCAGCCTCATTTCCATGTATGGGGTCACGTGACACTGCAAAGTGGCACCAATCGATGCAAGATGTCTAACTAACTAAGGTGAGCAAGTTTGGCATGATAAGGATTTTTTTTGACAAATTTATAGTAAATTATGTGTTTCAGCCTCGCTTTCATGTTTAAAGTGACGTGACCTATGTAAATTAGCATAAATCAACAGGGAGGATCATGCCCAATCATGTGAGCAAGTTTGGTGTACTTTTGTCGGTTATTAACAAAGTTATGAGGAATTATGTGTTTTAGCCTCGTTTCCACGCTGGATTTCATGGGTCAGAATTTAACCCCCCTTAAAAGCCGTCTGAGCAAGTGCCAAAGCTGGCACCAAAACTTTTCATGTTTAGTAGGACCTAATGAACATTTTTACACGAGGTGCTTGCTTTCAGCACGAACTTCACACGGGACCTTATTTTATGACATTTGCTCCCAGACTACTATGCACTGTGTGTTCAAGTGATCTTTTCACCTTTGGTACGATTGAAACCGGTTTTCCAGTGTACTATTTTTCATTTATTTATTTTTTCAGCTTTTCAAGACATGATTGTAATTTTTCAAAAATGTAATTGTTTCATTAAGTCAGGGCTTAACCCCATCACTCACAGAAGTGATGGACAAATAACTTTTCCCTACAACATATCACATTTTCCAACACACAAGTATCGAGAATATCCAAATTCATCAACTAAACGATGCTACTTTGATTTAAGATTCCATTCCTCAAATTAAATTCCGGATCATAGTTATGATATATAAATTTTACACCAATCTTCTGGTAGTTCGCCAATATTGCAAATATATGAAATATAAATTGAAATTGTTCTACATTGTTCAATAACTTTAAGTTTTACAAAATATAACCTTTATAAAAGTATTGATATATGAATGAATTTACTGGAAAGTGGAGTTGTTGCACCATGTTAACATGAAACACAAAAGTAAAAAGTTTTTATTTGACTATCTACTAGCAAGTCTTTGTATTATATTTCAACCCAACCATTTTCCACAACTTGTATACATCATTACAAAATATTCAGTAGGTGTAATGGAAAATTTGTGTTTGAAATGCCATGTCCATGATAAGCTAACAGGATTGAGGTGGGTGTACGTTGGAATAGGCCCTCT